ATCACACACACACAGAAACCGCTGTCACACACGCCATTGACGCAGGCACCACAGGAACCTGTATGAACCAGAGTGATATTGGCGTTAGTATTGTAACTTTTATAATTAGGAAACTGGAAAGGAAATGGTGTCACTCTCACTTAGAAATTCATCGGCAATTGTTCATATCTGCGCGATCTCACTATCACTCTCTTCTTGTGGCACACAAGAAAGAATATCACCGCTCCCGTATTGAATCTGCTGATCAGAAAACACTTTTCAAGATCGTGGACCAAATATCGGAATCAAAATCATCTCAACTGAATGTCCTCCCAGACATGGAAATCTCAGAGCTCCCTCAACTTTTTTCAAATTACTTTACAGATAAGATCAAGAGCATTCGAAATGATCTCGTTTCTTATTCTTCTGTAGAAATCTCAGAAACCCCAGTTACCTGTACTCATGCAGTATTGACTGAATTTTCACCTGTATCAGAAGAAGATGTTTTAGCATTAATGAAAAGCATGAATTCTAAATCTTCTGCCTTAGATCCTGTGCCAACACATATTATCAAAGAGTGCATTACTGTTCTGGCCCCAGTTATTTTAAAGATAGTGAATCTCTCTTTTACAACAGGCATCTTCCCATCCAACTGCAAAGCAGCAATTGTTAGACCCTTGTTAAAAAAACAAGGCCTGTGCAAACAAGTGTTTAAAAATTATCGACCAATATCAAACTTGCCCTTCTTAGGGAAGTTTCTTGAGAAAATGGCATGTATACAACTGAATAACTATCTAGCTCAAAACAGTCTATATGGCAAGTTTCAATCAGCTTATAGAGAAGGACATAGCACAGAAACAGCTCTCCTAAGGGTTCATAATGACATCATGCTTTCTTTAGACAAACAAAAAGATGTTATTTTAGTCCTTTTAGATCTGTCTGCTGCATTCGACACCATTGACCACAACATACTTCTGCACAGACTACAGTACCGATTTGGAGTAAAAGATTTAGCACTTAATTGGTTAACCTCATATCTAAAAGATCGAACACAAAAGGTGTCAATTGAGTCGTTGCTATCAGAGCCCACTATTTTAGAGTATGGTGTCCCTCAGGGGTCTGTGCTAGGTCCATTGCTCTTTTCATTGTATATGCTACCAGTAGAAGACATTATAGTTAAACATGGTCTCAACACTGTCATTTTTGCTGATGACACTCAAATTTATGTCACAAGTGAAAGTAATCGCTCCATGGCTATCACCTCAATAGAAACTTGTCTAGTTGAGATCCGAAATTGGATGAAAACAAACATGCTAGCACTAAATGATGGAAAAACTGAACTAATATGGTTTACATCAAGGTCTAAGTCAGACAGGGGAAATGCAATGAAATCTGATATTTGTATCGGTGGTGTCAACATCAATCCATCTAGCTATGTGAAAGATTTAGGTGTCACCTTTGATCAGTATGCAACTATGGATAGACGGATCTCTGAAATTTGCAAATCGGCATCATACTCACTTTGGCGAATTAGTAAGATACGTGACTTACTGGACAAAACTTCAACTGAAAAACTAGTCCATGCTTTCATTACTTCTAAGCTTGATTATTGCAACAGTCTCTTATATGGTTTAGGCAAAAATCATCTGAACAAACTTCAATTAATTCAAAATTCTGCAGCTAGGCTGGTAACTAAAATGGGATGGAACAGCCGAGAGCATATAACACCTGTTTTGATGGAACTTCACTGGCTTCCAGTAAGAGAGAGAATTTTATTTAAAATTTTATGTGTCATTTTTAAAGCAGTCACTGAGAATAAACCACTTTATATCTCAGAACTTATGAAGCAACATCAGCATGGAAGAGTTACCAGGTCTTCAACTTTTAGTCATTTACTTTTAGAACACAGTGTCTTAGAGAAAAAAGCTGGTAAATTTTACGGTGAAAGGGCATTTATGATATATGCACCGAAAGTTTGGAACACCTTACCCTCTGAAATACGAGCAGCAGGTGACATAGATACTTTTAAAAAGCTTTTGAAAACTCATATTTTTAGAATAGCCTATCAGTAAATATCATATAGTTCATTTTAGTTTTTAATAAGGTGTACTGTAATTTTATGATTAATTTTAAATGTTGTCACTTTAGGTTCTTATCATTTTAGAATATGAATAATTGGTTCTTTAAATTAGTTCTTAGTCCTTTAAAATTGTAATGTGTTCTTATATTAGTATTGTGTTATTTAGCTCTTTTAAGTGAATGTTGTAAGGCGCATTGAGATTTTTAATGGAATGCGCCATAGAAAAATAAATTATTATTATTATTATTATTATTATCACACTTTTCACAATAAAATTCAATATCATGTCTGAATTATAATTAGAACTAAAAGGTATAAATTACCTGGCACATATTGTTTTTACACAGCACTGTTCTTGGCTTTCCAGCATCAAGGCCAGTCATCTGAAAATACAAAACAAAACACAAACTTACTACTAGTTCACAATTTTTTTCTCTCTAATAATTATAAGATCAGGAGAAAGTATTAAAATAAAATCCTGGAAAACCAATCAGCACGGCTATGAAAAATGTTCTCAGATTACCCTCCTTATCATATATTTGGCAAGTAGCCATGACCTGCAATGAACCACTTCACGATACAGCTCACTGAGAGTGAAAACTCACTTGCTTCCTAAAACACAAGGTGGGAATAAACACCTACTAGTGGGTTGACCCTTTGTGGGCAGGATTACAGGACTTACCACAAAACCAACTATAAATGTATAGCATTACGCATAGTTGAAGGTGCAGCTGAGATTGGATCTTTTTAAAAAAATTTTGCAACTCTCCAAGTTACGCACGGAAATGTAGTCCAAAACCAGTACTTATTGAGAGAATAGAAAAAAAACTTGCTAAAAGGCTCTCTCAGTGGCATTCACTCGCTTATTTGCAGAAATTTACTTGCACTGGCTTGCTGGCAAATGTTGAATCTGTACGCTGATGTGGTTTCCTGCCATAACCGAATTTCTATTAATTTGTTTCCAATTAAACCACAAGGCATAAGAACACTGTCTAATCCATCGACCCATTATACTTTGTACATCATGTTATGGAAAAAAGTCTCTTCAACATGTACACATTTAATGCAGACATCTCCAAGGTGGAGAGGTCCTCAGGGAGCAAACCACACTGACAAAGTGACACTGATTAGAATTTATCTTGTTCACAAAAGGACCAACTAAGATCAACAATGAACAAATGACATCACAGAATTGCCAATCTGATTTTTGACAATCTATGGGCACATTCAGATTCACACATTGTACCAGCTGGGTCAGTCCAACTTGGTGAGGGATTCTTGCTAAAGTGCAATCATTGGAATCAGCTTAATCAGCACATTAGTTGATTCACCCTAGCTCTCAAGGAGGCCTCACACAATTAAGCTGAATCCACTGACTGCACTTAAGCAAGAAACCCCTACACAGTTGGACCTACCCAGCAAGTATAATGTGTGAATCTGAATGTGGTCTTAGTTTCACCTGATCAGAAGTGTGCTTGGTTATGAGCACAGACATACTTTTTTCTCATTTCCCGTTATTTTTTCTTTCACTAATATTTTCCAAAACATGCAATTAATCCCATTATGAAAGAAAAGGTGAGTCACTGGTTCAGGCAATGTCAATATCAAAGAGCAGAAACTGCATGTTGATGTCTTGAATAGCTACGAAATTCTGACGCTTTTTTTTGCACATCAGTCAGCTTTTAAGCACTGAAGCTCGCCAAGTAAGTAGAACACCTGCACTACAGTCTATACATACATACATACATACATACATATATATATATATATACCCAAGTAAAAGAATACATCTGATTGGATATATTATAAGACACCTGACAGGCTAAAGCTAGATTACGTAATAACATTATGCCTAGCTATAAAGGCTTCAGCACTATACCATCTCATCACATCAATTCACGTTTATTCACAAAAACACACACACACACACACACACACACACACACACAACAACGACTGCTGCAACTTCAACCATGTTGACCATAATCAGCAGAGTCCCAGTAGGCCTTCTGAATCACAGCTTTTGAAAGAGGGATGATACTGATAAAAGTATAGGGTGCAGCTGTCTGCATGTATGTTTGTTCCTTTTTTTCAAATAGTGGATGAAAATGTGGTAGCAAGTGTGAAGCAAAGCGAAAAATAAACCTTGCAATAAATATAAACAAGAATGGTTAATCTTTTGCTGCATTAAGAAAAATATGCACTGTATTCATATCTTAGTGAGCACAGCCTACTATTACTGATTTCTAACCCTTAACACCATAAATAGAAAACTGACCATAATTTCTGTCAAAAGACACATACTAGTAACCTTTCCTTCCTTAAAAAAAATTAATGAAAATAATGATACTTTTAGAGAAAACTGTGAGGACTTTAAATAATAATAATAATAATAATAATAATAATAATAATAATAATAATAATTAATAGGTTGCATATTATTAATTAAATGATAAATAATAAAATTACTAAAAATACTAGTAATTTCTTTATAAGCTAAGCACACAAATCAACCCGCCACATGCCTTAGAGCCAAATAAATATTAGAAGGCTCCTTTGTAAGGACAGTCTGAAAAACAAGCACATGATGCATCATATTATTAATTCAATGGCAAGATGCTCACACACCTATGCCCCTGTTCTAAAGATGTTTTAATCTTGTGTTTGTTAATGTGTGGTGGACCGTTTTATCATCAACTTAACAAACAATCTTCCCATATCAATATGAGTGTCCTCATAAAGCAAATATACCTGGTACTGGTAGTAAACTGTATACACNATTATGAATTTTCCTTGGAATGAAGGACAAAACAAACTGATACATTCGATCCAATCAAAACCGGCTGGCGTTACTAACATGTCGGTGTTTTATTCCAAATAATCTTGACAACACAGCATATTTTACTCTGATAATTCAAGATAATTCGACAAAACAACCCTGTTTGTACAAATGAATACCGTGTGAAATGTATCCAATTTGTAAAATATCTTAATTTTGATTTTTACAGTAACGAAACGGAGAGGTTAACACCCGGCAAGGGGCCCCCATCGCCAGCAGCGGCGTCCAGAGAGAGAAAGAGACTTTCGATTGATGTAATTTGTGGGTGACATTAACACCCCCACCTCACACACACACACGCCCATCCCAGTTTTGATTTAAAGTGGTAACCGACCGCGGTCACCATTTCACTCCAGTTCAACAACTTTGAAGAATTGTTGTCTGAACTTGATGAACCTAATTTGAACTTAACACCCAGTCCAACAGAGAGTACAATTTCCACATTTGATTACAACGTTTCACCAAGTCAAACATGTACCTCTTACGAAATCAAGGATCCAGCAGCGATGATAGGAAGGGTAGGGGCCAAGGGGGAAATGTCTCCCTCTTGGGAGACGCCTCAGGCGTCTCCAATTTGGGAGACATCTCCAGTGATGAAGGAGACTCTGGTGACCGAGATTTTAGCACCAGTCATGGTCAAGCCCTCAAGTGGCACAAGCCAAGCAGTGGACACAACCACCACCGATACCCTGACTGGCCTAGACCAGGAGGCGTGGACGACCTTGGAGGCCACGCTGTTGAGTTATGGGGATGCGGAGGCCTTGGACAGTTCCTCGATCTACGCACGTTCAGTGCAGAAGACGAGTGGCCTATTTAACCCAAGTAAGTAAAGTTTGATCTTTGGTATATCTTGAGTTAAAAGTTATTAGAGTGGATAATTAGGGAGAGGGGAATATACTGGATAAAAAAATGGAGAATGTTGGGAAGAAAAGAGCTTTATTTTTACCAAAAAGAAACAATTATAGGAAAAGTGCTATTTTAAAACCTTTGACTGTCATTATACATGACAAAATGATTATTCTGAACAAAAAATCAAAATGCTTTCCTAAGACATACTAATGCCACATTCCTAAAAAAAAAAGCCTTTACTTGATGCAAAGTTAAGCAAGTCTTACAGGTTGATCTACCTGTACCTCTATTAAAATGATGATTGATATAAAGAGAAATATCGGTTGAAAAAAACATAAATGGCTTGCCCAGGCATGTTTATGCTTTCGAGTCAATATTTCCCTGAAGGGGCGGATGTTAGCAAGTTCAGGCATGCTCAGAACGTGATGAAGGTATTGCACCACCACCTGAAATCTCATTGTTATCAGCAAGTCCTTATCAATAAATCAATAGCCACTCTAGCAACAAGGCCCCTTATGTCATTCTAAATCAGTCCAGGTTAGCAAAGTCCCAGGACATGAAATAGGTCAGAGTTCAATCATGCCTATTTCTGGAACATTGCATCAGTTTGGGTATATCAGTAATTTCACCATACTCAGCAATTTCAATCAAAATGTAGCTGTCCTAAGCAAAACAGGTTTTAACTCAGGGTCTGGTATATATATATATGCAGTGGTACTTAGGAAATTTCACAATAAGCTGAAATGTGTGCAACTAAAGGTAGATTTATGCTTCTTCTCTTTCTTTTTTTTTTTTCAAATTTTATTTTACCTACTTTTTGGAAATATTTAACAGAAAAAACAAGATAACATTGCAAGGGTAGCACATGCAGTGATTTAAAAAAAAAAATTGCTTTCATTTTCTTTTTCATAAGTGAAGTCGTTTTCCATTTTTGCTGAATTTTGTGATTCCTGAAAGAAATGGTATTTAACTTAAACATTAACACATTTAATTAAGTACATAATTGTTTAAAAACACTTATTATAAAAATTAATTTTCATCATTTTAGGTGATTCCCTTAAAGAAACATTGAAATTGGATCTATTTGCTGATGAAGAATGTGACGACCTCTTAATGACTTGTATGAAGCAGACAGTGTTAAAGGAGGGACCAGACCCTGACACCTCAGTAGAGGCGGCTTCTGATGACTTTGAAAATGACTGGTTATTTAATGAGACCGAATTTCTGGATGACTTTGCTGATTTGTCTAAATACATTGAACAGGTAGGTGCTGACACAAAAATGCAGAATTCAGTTCATTTGTTAAAGAAACTCTTCACATAGATTCCATTTAAGATAAGTTTTTCTCTTATAGTACCAAGTCTTACAATATTATTGGCAGAAGTAACCATTTTTAAGTTTCTTTTTTATATAAATGATAAATGTTTTTAACCAGGTAATACTCATTCTTTCAGAACACCATGCCAGTTGAACAAAGCAACACTGAAACATCCACATCTGAGGCACACGAGTTAGTCCCAACTATTGACAACGTTACCATAGTAACTGAACCTAGCCAGTCCAGTGAAAGCTTTGGCACTGTAGATTTGGCCGACATTTCAGCAGAGGTGGATCACAATGACTCTGACAGCACAGATTCCAATTCTACAATTGATCATGATTACTCGCGTGGAAAAAAGAGAAAAACTGACAGTGTGACATCAGATATTGTCACAAAGAGAGCAAAAGTGAACAGCGTGGCATCTGAAAGTGACACTGAATCTGTAATAACCACTGCATCTGGAAGCAATGATAGATATGGAGAAAGAAGGCGAAAGAATAATATTGCTTCCAAACGCTCCCGTGAACAGCGTAAAAACAAATACATTGAAATGGAAGAAGAAGCTGTTCGCCTGGCAAAGGAAAATTCAGAACTGCAAGCTAAGATTGAATTGCTTGAGAAAGCTACAAAAGACTTAAAGCAGGTTTTGGTTCAAAAATTGACATCTGGTTCTAAGTAAAGTGTGAAAAAAACATCAACAAAATTCATCTGAAAATATTCATTTTATAACATTTGAAATGTTTTTTCCCTTGTCTGTAAGTGATATTGTATATAATATATGTTTTCTTGAAATGAAGTACCATTATATAAAGTCTCTTTCCATGACATTTGTTATCACCATTGGAATAGAGCAAAGAAATGGAATTTAGATATTTAATGTTATATAACCCAGATATTATTATTATCAATATTTTTTGTAAAGAAATCTAAAAGAATTTGTAATGTATCACCATTACAGAGTCACTTACTCAGGTGTATATGTAGTCCAGTCAGGAAAGGAGGGGGGCATTTTTGGCACAATTTGTTGTGGATTTGAAGTTGCATTTCCTTTTCAGTGCAGACAGGGGGTAAAGCTTCCTTTTCATTTTAGAAAGGGAAGAAAACAAGAAATCCCCCCCCCCCCCTCCTATCCAACTGCAAAATAGTAATAACAATACATTTTTGAATTCTTACAACCCTTATTTCTTTAGTATGAGGTAAGGAATGACGATATCCTTTTTCCATACTACACGTTGGAAACTTATTTTTGAAGTCTTACACACCATGTAAATATGCTAATGTATGATGTATTATATATTTCATTTAGATGTCAGACTAGTGTGCTGCTGTAAATAAAATGTTAATCGTAACCTTACTCGTTTTTGTTTTTAACATATTTGACAAGGGTTTATGTGAGGCGGATAATTCCCATACTGCACTTGGGGAGATGTGTGAGTATAGTCGTGGTATACAAGAATTGACGGACAAGCACTTTATGTAAAGACACACTAAGAAATTTCAGTTAAAAAGTTTTGGGATCAGATTTGAATTAAGTTGTAACTACTTTTTCTCTGTCATATCCATTTCAATTCAAAATCCCAATGGAAGGGGAAAGCCCTACAGGAAAGGGGTAAAGTATGAGAGATTAGGTTTAACACGTTGAAAGCAAAGCTTGGTCATTAAAGAAATGAAATTAACTGATATGAATATTGCATTTGCGGTTTACTTTGACAGAGTATTACATGGCATGCTGTTGCACACAGCCTGCAAAATGAACTTAATTTATTGACATCATTTATGATTCAATATTTTTGGTAATCACAATGGCATACATTTAAATCATATCAAGTTGAATTGCGGAAATGAAACTACTATTGTAAATCTGAATCGTTTGATACATAATCCTTTCACAAAAAGATAAATTACTGAAATGTTTAAAAAAGCTCAATTATATAAATATATACATATAGTTTTGCTCCTTATTGTAAGTGTAATCAAAACCAAAGTTAACTAGAGGATCAGAGAGGCGATACCGCCTCCGAATATTGTACCACCAGCTGGAGCAAGCGCATTCGTATAGACCCCCACATATACAAAATAAGGAACACAGCCACCAGTCTTGTGCTTGCCAAGCTGTAAAAATGCAATCAACAAGAATTTTCAAAATATGCCAAAAATATATATATAACTAAAAATGGTACAATCAAAGTTAAGTTCATCGTAAGGTAGGTCAAAGGTCAATTCCAAGGTCACAGTAAATTGCCAGTATATGACTTCCTATTCAACTTCAATAGTAACTATGGGCCTATCTCTGCCAGGTTTGGAGTTAAAAGAAAAAGAAATTAGCAGAGTTCAGTTCATGATAATAAGTAGGTCAAAGGTCAATTTCAAGGTCACANAAATAAAGGTCAAAGGTCAAATCCAAGGGCATATTTGAAATCTACACATATGACTTTTGGAAAGCTGTCTGTAGAAATTTTTCCCATAATTCCTTCCGTAGGGGAGATAATTAGCATTTAATTTTGCCATTTTTGGACAAGGGTGCATTGCAATGAGTGCCACACCTAGACCCCAATACCGACAAAGCCCAAATTTTACGTGGAACGAGTTGAGATTATAGGTGACCTAAATCCAAGAGATGGGTATGGAGGCCCTTACCGTCTAGGAGGAGAAGCGGTAACGGTGACTTGGCGGCGGAGCCGCAGGAGCCGGCGGAGCTGCAGGAGCCGGCGGAGCCGCAGGAGCCGGCGGAGCCGCAGGAGCCGGCGGAACATACGGGTCGGGACTAAAACCATGTGTACCGCCAGCGCCTACGCTGGTGGTACAATTAGTCCCTGATTAATATCCTTCTGACATAACTTTAGGAGCGTATGTCAGAAATGTGTATCATATGACATCTTACATCTAAAAATACATCATTGAAAATAGACCACTGATCTTGTTTATAAGCATATGATAATATAATTATAACAATATATTTGATCTTGTGTCAGTAAGTTAATTTAGCATCTAACTTCTAACAAATCTGGAAATATACATTTGAAAATTAACCATAACTTTTTGCATGCAATATTTTCTTTACAGCCTTCAATGAAATTAATTTTCTAAAGTCTGCAAATTCTTAACATTTCAGTGCATGACAAATCTCAATGCAGTTGGTCTGGAAATATGGCACCAAGAATATTTTTCAGTATGGCAGTGTTTAAATTCATTAAAAATGGTTTCCAGTAACCTCTTTCTCATATGAGAGCCTTTACATCATAATAACCAACATTGACTTAATGTCAGTTTTCCCTTTAGAAAGAAAAATGTCTTCCACCAAATTACTTAATATCTGTCTTGATGGGTCAGTAATAGGTTATTGCCACATAAATATTTCTAGACACATCTCAATAGAAGTCAACATGGAAGTGCAATCAGCAGTTTCATATATATATATATGGAGTGCATTTTTTAAATTGTTTTTCCCCTTGAATATGGCCTACTGTAATACTTTCAATTTACAATTAAAATATTATGAACATATAATATAATGTAATAAATGCACTCTCTTCCTTATCCAGAGATAACTGTATCATATCAATAGTCAGATATTTTATCTCAATGTTTCAACATGATTATCTGCGGTCCAAAAGAGACCGCCTAGTTTGGACACCATTTCAGTAATGACACCACGAAGTGTTATATTTGGTATAAAGCACTTCCAATAAAGTTGAAATGTCGTTAGACACATGCACACATAAAGAAAAAAAATAGCCATAAGTTGGTATGAACTAAAAAACAGAAAATTTGAGCTTGTTTGGGATAAATAAAAACTGTCTCCTAAAATGAGGATATTGACCAAAAACAAAAGGCATTATTAGCGAATTATTACAGAATTAACCTGGACCAAATTAATTCCAGTGAAAGACGAGGTTTTTGTTGTGAAATGGGTCCTGCTGTCAGTGACTTTAGTAGTCTGCTCCCTGTTCCTTTGCAATCTGTTGTTCCAATCTTCTGTATCTATCAGCCATTGTGTTATACATCTAAAGAGAATTAAAACATCCAATATTAGGAGGCTCCGAGCACTACTTATAACAAGGCTGGCTAACCCTATATAAAATTGTGTTACAGTTGGCTCTATCCTGATAAAAAATACTAGGATTCTGAATAAAAAAATCTTGACTGCATCTTCCAATAAATAAAACAAGTTTCTCCCAGAGCAGTATTAAAATCAATCAAATAAATTATGTTGATTTCACAGTAATATCACATGTATTTATGCAGAAAAAATTATATAACTGTCCCAGGTAACAAGAGTTCCACTATTGCACACCAAAGTCCCTTGAACTTTTCTGCCACCCCCTCCCCACCCACCCCTAACACAATCCTTTGCAATCTGATAAGAAATATTAAACTAACCTCTGTGACACTGGTGTCTGGCTCTGCTGCAAGGACATAGTCCAGAGCCCCCTTGACCACCTCATCAAAACTGACCACTTTGTCCCCACCTAGCCAGCCTAGAGATATCAAAGTGAATATTTATACAATGTTTTTTAAGTTGTAAACATAAATTCTCATTTTTAAGAGAATTAAGAGAAATAAAAAAAAAAGAATGCAAAATCACATATTATGCAAAAACACACAAACACAAACTTCAATGCAATAACTCCCCTTGCTCTTTTACAATGCCATTGCCTCCACCCCCATCATCAATAGTTCCTATTTGGATTGCAATTTCAGTCACAGCATGACTGAAAATGTGTCTATACATGCATGTCACTTCCCATGAGACCATCTCAAAAGACTTACCATGCTTAGCCATATAAGCAGCACCAAGGCAAGTTGAATTGGCCACATCCAGTGTATAGACTGGAGATGCAAACACATCGGCTATCACCTGAAAAAAAGGATGAAAGTTACTTTCATAAGCTAATTTGTACCAAAAAAATGAATTAAACTTATTGACATCACTAAAAGATTGCTTAAAATCATGGGCTTAATAAGCTGAGGTTGAGTGTATATGCCACGACAGCCTGAACAAGTAAAAAATTTGAATATTTTTAATTAGACCTTTTCAAGTATCTGCAGTGTTCACAATATACATTCTCACCTGCAGGAAAGGTTTGTTGACTGAAGCGCCCCCTGTTGCCAGGATTTTGGTACTAGGTCCTGAAACAATAATGCAGTGTTCTTGAAACTTAGTGTAAACATCAAATATCAAACTATAAGGTAAGTTAAATGTATCTTTCTAAATAAAATTTCTCAACATAAATTTTTCGACATCAGTCCTTTTTCTTTTTAGTCTAAATATGTTACACTCATTGGTACTAACCTAGAGCAAACCCCAAGTTTTCAGCATGGGTTCTTCTGGATAAAAACTGCCCTTCCAACACTGCTCTCACTTCTACTGCATCAGAGAATGAAGAAACCTAAATAAAAGCTAGAAGGCGTTAACCTAAAACAACTAACATATCAATCATCACTGGCAGATCCAGAATATCTAGTCGGTGGGCTAAAATATTATTGGCAATCATTTGTCCTATCCCAAATTTCTCTGCTTCTAGGAGTATTAGGTTTATTATGTGAAAGTCACTATTCCATCTTCACTTCTTTCAACAATCTAAGGCAAGCTTCATTCCTACCTTCTGATTGTCTGCTGTGAATCTATGTACCCCTGATATGGAGGGAGTAATCTCCTGAACATCAAAGTACATACCTGGAAAATATTAAATATAAAGCACTGAAAAAATGCACCAGTATTTTATCTCATGTGAGTTCCATAACAGGTGATATATTATGTTGCTGTAATGCATACCGTGTGACATTGTGCTAAGTTTGATCATAGCTCTCTACTTCTATGGTTTGACACAGTGTTTAGTTTGTGTTTAATTTGGCATTGTTGTAGGTGTGACAAAGTGCTTGCTTTGGAATTTCCTTGGATTAATTTTTTTGTTCCTTGGCATTATATCATGTGTGTTGTGACATACCAATATTGCCATTATTTCCCTTTGGTGTCAGTTCAAGAAGTTGGTCAAACTTCTCCCATGATCCATCAGCACACTTGTCTCTGATTCCCTCTCTCGTTAAGGAGCCATTTTTAAAGCTAGAATTCAATGACACTGACAATGACAAATAATCTATAAAGATGTGTTTACAATGGAAAAGGGACAACTTTTTCAGTGCAATATTTCTCTGAGGGCTGTTTGATGAAGTTAAACTCACCATACAATCACTCCCTGCCACGCACAGTGATGGCAACTGATAACTGAACAGAAAAAAAAATTCATTTTTTTACCATAAAAGTGCCATGTAGTTACTGGTTTGGACTGGGTTGGAGAAGATGACCCCCTGAGTGTTTGGCTTTGGTTCTACAAGCCACAGAAAGACACAGTCACTGGTACCCAGGGTGACCTGAAATGTACAAACTTTTTTTTAATTCATAAAATTGGATTTATTTTTTCTCCATGTGGTAAAGATATAAAACCAGTTCAAAGGTAAAGGAAAAATATTAAATGATTACAGCTGACATAACTTCTGTCATTCTTTCCCTGTTCCAAAATTGTTAATTAAAGAAAAGTGACTATTAAGAGTTATATGCCTTAGCTTCAACTTAAAAAGTCATCAAAAGCATTGCAGTTTTTGAAAAAGTGATAAAAACCCACCCCAACTGCTCCTTGGTTCAAGGTCATTCCAGCCAGGGATGCTGTTTATTGAAGAATACAAATGCATTGTCAAAAATAAGCATTAAGTGAACAGAACCTTTGAAAAAGGGAAAATACACAGGTACTGTTGTCTTAAACCTTTTCTTAAATTTAAATTCATAGTCAATACGTTTATACTTATATAGCAAAGGACATGAAATAAGCAAAATTTTAAGTTTTGCACCTGGATTATCCCCAGTAAATACAATGACTCTGCAGTCAGGGGAGAAGCCATATCTGTCCACAAAGTAGCTGGAAATGGGACCCTGTATAATAATAATAATAATACAATTAAAAAATTAAATAATCAATTAAACAAATTTTACAACATGGTGTACTGGTATTAATGACAAATAACAGGCAAACTGATGTAGGCGATTCTTCATACCTTGCATTCTCTGCTATGTTTACGTACAAAAACATTTTGGGAGATGGGGGAGGTATAGTCACTGTCCACACCTACCCACCCACCTTTGTGTCATCATATTAAGATCTACTGCACGTGGACGTCAAACAAAATCACATGCGAACAAAACAAACACTTACCACATTGGTATGTGATGGGACAATCTGCCCTAGTTTCTTCTCCAAAGTTTCACCCCCACAGATCTAAATATAAATATCACAAGTGTTTTAAAAAGCTTGCATTTGGAGTACTATTGATACACCTTACCAAACACTCATTGATAACTCTCCATTAACACAGAGAATTTGTCAAATCTGACACAATGTTGTATCAAATTTGTCACACCTAACACAATGTTGTATCAAATTTGTCACACCTAACACAATGTTGTATCCAATTCGTCACACCTTACACAATGTTGTATCCAATTTGTCACACCTAACGCAATGTTGTTTCCAAACTGTTATACCAAAGACACTGTCATTCAAAATATCAAACCTATTGCAACAACAAATGCAAATAGTCAACTATAACACAATACCCACGTTAATGACAACTTACTTTCAAACAGTCAGGATCCCAGACTCTCTTTCTTATATTCATCAAGTTCATGCCAGAGCCATCACTGCTGTCAATGGGGGCATAATCACCAAGAAACAGACAAGCTCCAAAACTGCTCACAAGGGAAATCCTCTAAGAAATATTTTATTTGTAAGTTACAGTTCAATAGTTATTCAATCCATCTCATCATTTTATTCAATCTGCATTCTATTGATTCATGGAGTAATTGCTTTCACACACATTGTTTGTAACTGTTAATACTTTTCCAAGCTGATATCCACATTGATACTTAATTCTTATAATAATACAATGTTGCTCTTCAATTCTGCTGTCACTTTTAAAGGTATTAACATGATAGTAAGTTGTATACATGATCAAAAATGAATAAATTTAATTGAATTACATTACATTAAACTGATCCTAAACACTGAAAAATGTATATAAGCTAGCTTTTCTAAGACATCTGGTTATAAATAGAGATAATTGATAATTATGACTAATCAAAAATGTTTCTGAATTTTTTTATCAATTTTTATCATCCACATACCTCAGTGTTATCATAGCCTTCACGGTTGGTTTGGTATATTTTGGCAATCTGGTTCCCTGTGTATCGCTCAAATGCTTTTGCACCAGTCAAATCTGCTAAAGCCTATAACATATAAAGGGCAAAATAAAGGAAATTTTTCAGAAAAAAAGGGATAATTTTTGTCATCCCAAACACTCTGTTAAACTTTCACTGTAATACTTAACTTATTGGGCAGTTCAACAACACATTCTATCAAATACAACTAACACAAAACATATCATCAAGTCTAATACACTGTCACACCTTACACATTCTCACAACTTATGCACTATCCCACATAACACACCTAACGCAGTCACACCTAACACACTGTCACACCTAACACACTTACACAGTCATATCTAACACACTGACACACCTAACACAGTCATATCTAACACACTGTCACACCTTACACAGTCATATCTAACACACTGTCCCACCTAACACAGTCACACCTAACACAATACCCACCTGTGGTCCACCTAGTGCTTTTTCCAACTGTCGACACTGCTCAGTAGTGCTACTATCCATCCATACAGGGGAGTCAGGTATACTGAAACAATCCTATACAAATAAAAAGATAACAGCTAGTTCTCACAGCAAAAAAAATCCTCTGAATTTGGTTTCTTTATGTTGAATGGGAGATACTGATTCTGTTGACTGCAATGCATATTTGAAATAACTTAATACTTTAATTATGGTACAAGACACCAATCATTATATCTATTTTTAATACATGCATTTCATACTTGAAATTTTTCACATTTGTAACAAAATATACCTTTAACTGTTCTGCTAGGGTCTGGTTTGGCTGTAGTGTTGATAGAACCTGTCTTGCTCCCATCTTCCAGTAAACACTGCCATGTTGCTACAATTGTTTTTGATGAGTACTTACAATAGGTTAATATTTTAATTGGTTATAAATTATAAAGAGGCCTCAAGATAACAATATGAAAAAAAAAACAAAATATGAGCCATCAACAAGAGAGAGAAAGAGAGAGAGAAAGAGACTCACCTGTCCAGATCCAGACAAGGCAGCAACTGTAGAGAAGTCAACCCCACCTTTTTTCATCTTCTCTAACAGCAGGTCTAATGTCTACAAAATATAATAAAATAATAATAATAATAAAATTGACATAATAAAAGACCAACAAACATCTTGATGTGATGATCTTACCCTCCAGTGCCCATAAAATACAACACAATAAAATTACATTAGTCTATACTTCGTGTGACAAGATCAAAGACAATGATATCAAACTGACTCATCTTCACCAAGATATCAATACATATATTACATAACTGTGTGAGATAAATTCAGCTGAACCGAAGTAATGGTATACTGTAACCATTCCAAGTACATCATGTATGTAAGTCAACCCCACCTTCACCCATATATTGATGCATATTAGGCTCACCTTAACCCACATAATAGTGGGTGCAGTGATCGTCACATTGTCCTCTGCCACATGGACTCCTCCACGAGTTCTGAAATCATTCTCAAGTTATTTTTCTACATTTCTTAAATCAAATATATTTTTTAATCTATATTTCTTAAATTAAATTTTCAAATTTTAAAAACTGAGTCAACCCAGCATGTTAAGCTTACCTATCCCACAAAGTTGATCTCCTATGCCATTGACTACTGTATAACATACTTTCTGGTATAAATTTCAGTTGCCCATTAATACATTCAACCACCAAAGGTTTACCTGAACTCTGGCAAATCAGTGTCAAATTTGATATGTGTTTCATTAATCACTTTCAGAGTATCATCAATAACCATTGCCTTAACCTGAAATGACATTTAAACAATTATAATAAGAATACTTACATATTAAAATATGACTGTCAAATGGAAAATGAAAAATCTACTAAGTACTGTGTGTTTGTAAGTTTATTTTCATTTTATTACTAACATTTTTTCAAGGACTCAGTCTGAGCTTAGACACGACCTACTGAAGAGGTATATACAGTAGCTATAGATAACAGCTACCGAATTAAGGTTTTGTACTACATTATACATGTATATTTTGTCTTGGTAAATCAACAATACATTTCTTTTCGTGTTCCAATGGCTCTAGTGTATATACACTCAAAGACGGAGCCCTTGGGGGGGGGGCAACTTTCATAAATATCGTTGGTGTCTTTTGCAAACAGATATGCAGACTCTCGACCTACTCACGCAAGACAGGGGATCTACACTCGATCACTTTGAATGAAATGCAAGCCTTAAAACCGAGCCGGTGCTTGCCCCTTCTTGTGTTCATTCCGCGATCAAATAGCAAATCACAAAAAATATACATAACTACATGCTGTTCCTTACTATATGTCACGAATTCTGAATGCTACTTATCGGTTTCGGTACCTGCTGTGTGCTGAAATCGAAGCCTAAAAAGGTCCTCTTCGTTTTTGGACTCGACATGTTGACTAAATATAGGTCACAGTTTGATATCCACGAGAGGTCAGAGTTCAACGAAATTAGGTCAAGCATTGCATTTCCGGTTGCAAAGTGAATGAGTAGTGACAGTAGTAACATTACTTACGGTTTAAGGTGCGAAATGCACGCTCTGTAGTCATCAGAACAAGAAGATTTTCCGAAATGGAGCTTCATTTTATGGGGACAGCATCGGCTTATCCAACGCCGGTCAGAGGAGCGAGTTGTATAATATTCAGACGTGGTGAGCAACAGATACACGTTTTTCTCGTGGTAGACTCTGTGATACTATGCCCAGACTGCTTTAGTTTTGAATGAAATAAAGAGTCATTTTCAGTAGTAAACAATGTACACTACGTCGCCATTGCATTGTCCTCTTACCTGTGTATTATTTTGTACATGTCCACATGCAAAATTACAAGTTCGAGAAATTTCCCGTGTGAATATTTTTATGGTTAGCAACTAATTAAAGTATTTATTGTTACCAATACCAGTACATATATTCCCTTCCAGACTCGGACTGTTGGATGTTTGACTGTGGTGAAGGCTCCCAGACACAGGTAATGAAGAGCACCATCAAGCCTGGCAAGATTAGCAAGATCTTCATCACCCATTTACACGGAGATCATGTAAGGATGGCAAAGTTTGAGGGCTATTAACAATACCTAGGATCCAAAATAAAGAGGATAAGACAGTGGCTCAAACTTCAAAGGGAGTCTCCCGCGGCGCGCGTCTCATGATGCCTTCGGGTTGGTACGGCGAGCCTCGTTTTCAAATGACCAGGTAGCTTGTCTACGGCAGAGTGAAACGAAGGTCCCGCTTTAGTCGCGTTTTTTTCATTGTATCCGGAGAATTTCGTCAAAAGACAAGAGGAGCTGATTAAGGAATATGCAGTGAAGCACCGTGAGTATTTATATTGCAGTTTGTAGCTTCAATAGACAGTAATATCAATTTCAATGTCCCCGTCCGTTAGATTTGCAAAGATGGCGGGCAAATTTACACTGCCGTGCATGTTTACGCTCTCGTTGTTATTTGGCGGATGCACTTTCCGAATATTTGTCAATGCAGAGATATTCGGAGTACAGTTTTGATATGGCAACACCTTGTAATGTGGGAAACGAAATAAGTTGGATTGTAAAAAGAGCGTAGAAATAGTGCCCCCAACGCCAATAATGGCGGAGCGATAGTTCTGGGAGGTAGTTTACCTATACAAAAAAACTTTACATGGGACTGGCTTGCTAATTTTAAACCCACATCTATATTGTACGTTTTATAACAAAAGACGTTACGATGGATATTAGTGGATTAGAGTTTTTATTCCAGAGATATCAAGGACTTAAATTGCCTAATCACTCTAAATTCAACATGGCCGAACGATNGTGTCACGTCAACAGTTCATTGACTCTGAGGATGACATGCCTTTGAGCAGTCTGAAAGATGTTTCTTCTGACAACTCAGAGACTCAACAGTCAAATGGTAAGTGATTGATACAATGGATTGGTTTATTTTAATTAATAAAGTGGTTAACATTAATTTATTTGGTATTTTTAAAACTGGAGTTCTAAATGTTCCTTTCTTATGCAGAATGTGCAGTGTCAAGTCAACAATCTAGTGAACCTGAGGATGACATGTCTTTAAGCAGCCTGAAGGATGTTTCTTCTGACAACTCAGAGACTCAACAGTCACATGGTGAGAATCTTATACAATGAATTGCTTCGTTTTCATCTACTTTGTTCCCTACAACAGGAAATTCATGAAGTGTTAGTCAGTTACATTAGTTCACTTATGAATAATCTTAAGGTGCCATTTAAATAGTTTTATATTTAAGGATATTCTATAGAATTTTCCAGTGACACCTTTATAAATTTTAGGGTCCAGTATACCAACATTTTTTGACAGTCTGCAAACCTGTGCCACTGGGGATTGGCACTTCATGAAGGGTCCATGTAAAGTGCATCTTTACAAGATGGTGTTGGTAGAGGATACCTTGCCTCTATGCAAAGTTACTGTTAGTTTTCGTCAAGATTGTTTAATGTCCATCAATGTCCATGGCAAAGCCATACCCAACGACCATGATATCTACCACACATATGGACGGTACACCAGAACTGCGACTGATGTCCAACGAATTTTAGGATACATTGATCGCTCTTTCATTTGTACTGGAAATCCAGATGAGGACTTCAAGGGATTTGCCCCTGTCTGGAGTGGTCATTCATTTCAGTCCAGTGAAGGTGTGTCTGGTTATACTGAGGGTCCCATGGGTGAAGCCTACACAAGTACTTTTCGGTCCATCAATTGCAGCATGCTCCTCAACCGCCAATCTACCAGGTGCCATTCATGCTGCGCATATCGTTGTGTTTTACGTGCTAAGAGGTCGGACAAGCAAAGATCAAGTGAGCGTTCCCCAGAGCCTTCAGCAACAACTCGACTTGACCTCTTAACTGTTGAAAGCCTTAGGAAAAGAAACAGTGCCCACAAGCAGAAAATCAGAAGGTTGTCAAAACGCCTTGAACAGTTAGAGCAGAAGCTTGCCACATCTATAGAGAGTGATGGAGTGGTACTTGATGACGAGATCACATCTCTTGTGAATACTGCCATGAGAGAAAATAAACCGTCCCCTTTCACAGATGAATTCCAGGCACTGTTTTGGGACCAACAAAAGAAGGCAGCAGAAGCCAAAGACCCAAGAGGAGTGAAATGGCACCCAATGATAATCTGATGGGCGCTGGNGCTGTTATATTCTTATTTAATCTGCCAGCTTGCAACCAGAGTCTTTAATTTTGGAATGCTGTGAATGTGGTGTATATTATTATTATCATCTTAGATGCCTGTAACATTAAGTTATTTATGATTATTATTAAAACTGGAGTTCTAAATGTTTCTTTCTTATGCAGAATGTGTCGTGTCACGTCAACAGTTCATTGACTCTGAGGATGACATGCCTTTGAGCAGTCTGAAAGATGTTTCTTCTGACAACTCAGAGACTCAACAGTCAAATGGTAAGTGATTGATACAATGGATTGGTTTATTTTAATTAATAAAGTGGTTAACATTAATTTATTTGGTATTTTTAAAACTGGAGTTCTAAATGTTCCTTTCTTATGCAGAATGTGCAGTGTCAAGTCAACAATCTAGTGAACCTGAGGATGACATGTCTTTAAGCAGCCTGAAGGATGTTTCTTCTGACAACTCAGAGACTCAACAGTCACAATAAAATTAAAATCTAGTTCAGCGTACGAAGTGCTGAAAAATTCTGGTTTCATACGCTTACCTTCATCTAGGACTTTACAAGACTACACAAATGTCTTTAAAGTAAAAAGTGGATATCAGAAGGAGGCTTTTGTGCAGATGCAGACAGAAATTCAAAATCTAAAGCTTGACAAGTCACAATTGTATGTTACTCTCTTGCATGATGAAGTAAAAATTAAGTCCGATTTAGTTTTTGACAAACATTCTGGAGAGTTAATAGGATTCATAGATTTGGGCAGTTTAGGAAATGACATGTCAAATTATGAAAGGTCACTGAAGGCAGACACCGAGTTGGTGCCAGAGCTTGCCAAATATATGCTGGTAGTCATGGTAAGAAGTTTAGCATCTAACTTCAAGTATGTGCTGGCTAGTTTTGCCACTGTAGGCATTAGTGCAGGTTACCTTTTTCCTATTCTGTGGGAGGGCGTTGAAAGGTTGGAATACGTAGGAGTGAAAGTCTTGGCCATTACCTGTGATGGGGCCTCCCCTAATAGGAAGTTTTTTAGATTGCACAGAGTTGATGATGACGCAACTGTAATTTACAAGACCGAAAATGTCTTTGCTAGAGATGAAAAAAGGGACATTTTTTTCATATCTGACCCACCACATCTTTTGAAAACTGCACGAAATTGTTTTTCAAATTCACATGGTCATAAAAGAAGTAGATCAATGTGGCGAAATGGGCATGACATCTCTTGGCAACATGTAGTGAATTTATACGAAAGAGAATATCTGTCAGGCCTGAAGTTGGTGCCCAAGTTGAGTAGGAACCATGTCTTTCTTACAAGTTTCGCAACCATGAAGGTGAGGTATGCTGCACAAGTTCTGAGCAGCACAGTGGCCAATGCCCTTCAAGTAACAGGTGGTGTGCAGGTCCAAGAAACTGTTAAATTCATCAGGATGTTTGATCGATTTTTTGACTGTCTTAATGGTCGTTCACTCCATGAACACATCGCATGGTTGAGTGAATTTGTTGTGCCGTTGATTACGGCGTGTCAACTGGTGACGCGTGATCATTTAAGTCACCAGCATTGTTGAACATCATTGGTGAAATAGCTTATCTGTATGTTATGATCTATTAAGTACGTTCTGTTAATTATCTAAAGTTTGTTTGTCACAGCGACACTCCGAGCTTGGCCTTCGCCGACAATTTGCTGTTATTGTCCTTCTTGGAATCTTCTAACAAAAACATATTTTACGTACAATAATGTAACATGATACGAAGTGAACACTTCATGTCGCATAGATAATTCAAAAATCGCCGGAACGACTGGCAAAACCAATGCACATTGTCATCTATTTCATGTCTGCGTGTTACAATTACCTGTTATAGCCCTTTTTTCTTCTTGTCTGAAAGCATGCTGTTCTTCATAATATTCCAGTGACAACTTTATTTTTTGTTAAACACAATATCAAAAAAGAACGTTATGGTATACAGACCCATTTTTTAATACTTCCTGCAATATGTAACGTTAAAACATTTCACGAAATCAACCGCGTTTTGAAACTTACAACCAACATGGCGGACGGGAACGTAGCAACCGCGAGAATATACGGTAATGTGCGATAACTGCCTGTGCACGCTTCGTCACGCTAGCCTGACCACACGCTGTCTAAGCTATCAAAACAGCTTAACTAGACAATAGGGGAATGTTTACCCGAAGGTATCATGGTTCAAAGGCGATTTGCCGCTTTCTTATCCTCTTTATTTTGGATCCTAGACAATACTTTACCCCTCAAAACTTACACTCTCTTGGTTATTTTTCTTTCTTTCCTTCGAATCACTCTCAGGATAGTAAACATTTATAGCAAATACCTATAATCATTTTAAAAATATTTTTCTTGGGATATTTTCCTAGTGATTTGAAAGATTTAATTTGGCAGTTTACATACGGCAGTTGACAATATTGATTTTTTTTTCTTTTTGCCATCTTATAATGAGTATGAGATGTTGGACTGATCATATTTGTACACTAATTAATTTATTTACATATATTGATTTATGTTACTATTATAGATTCTTCAAACAGCAGCGATAAATCAGAATTATTACTACTCTGATATTTCGTTGGCTTACACATACTTTGGTCAAAGACACTTTCATAAATTTGTGTAATCAACTTCAACGACGAAAAAATTAAATAAATATTAATGATAGACACAATTAACTTTAAGCCTAATATGTAAGCCAGCTCTTTGTTCTAGAAACCATAAATTAATGTACATTCAATATACCTGACCCCTAAATTAAAATTCCTACCCACTCTATGCTCACCCACCCCACCACAACCCGTCTCCTACCCAACCACACTGCACTGATCCCATCTCACCAACATATCCCTGCTTATACCCTGATACATATCTACTGCTTATCCACACTACACCCACCCCACATCACCTACATGCCTCTGCTTCTTCATTCTTGTACCTCCTGCTTACCCACATTGCACCCACCTGCCCATCCACATACTACCTACTCTGCCTCAGCCCTCCATGATATGTCTCCATGTAATTCCAGGTATTTGGACTCCCAGGATTATTATGCACTATAGGACAAAACAGTACCCAAGACAGACTCTTGGAAATCTATGGACCGCAGGGGTTACAGAAGTTTCTGCGGGTGAATCTCGAGCTCTCCCGTAGCATGCTTGGATTTGATTATGTGGTCCACGAGCTCATTCCTATCAGAGAACAGTGTAATTGTGTAAAAGACTGGGAGGTTGGTATAAAGTGTCAGCACTCTGTGGCAAGGGATCAGTTTCATGAAGGGAAATTTAAGTTGAAAGTTAGGTCTTTTTTTTTAACTTAAATATTCTGGTGTCCAGGAAAATATTCAAATTCTGATATAGCTGCACCTTGTCTGTTTCATTCTTGAGGATTGTTTCTGTCACCTAAGCTTTATAGTCTTAAGATAAGTTTTCATTGTTTGTCATGGACTACCAATGACCATACTTCCATAGTTTTTTTCAAAGCTCTGGGAAGTATAGACTCTTTATCTTGTTGCTTTTGTGTTTCAGACCTGGTCAGTGGACCATGAAGCCCCCAGGGGACCACTTCACCCTTACGAAAAACCAGGCATGTCGATATCAGCTGATAAACAGGGAGTCTGGCACCTGTAGGTTTGTCATGAGGTTCCTCTGATGTATGAAAATGTCAGGAAAATACAACTTTGGATTTGAAGCAGCGATATGAAGCTGTGTTCACATCTTGACTAATTTAGACCTGAGAAAAACCTATTGACATTTTTTTAAGTCCACTGCTTTAATATAAAGACACCAAGACCTCTGGTATTGTTACTGAGTAAAGTTGGGTCCATTTCTAATTTTACTGACATCACCATCAAGTTTGTCAAGTAGCTGTACTGAGTAGCTGTATACTCTAAAGCATAAGATTATAAATTTTAGCTAAATACTAGGCTTATTCTATATTATTGATGAAGATGCTATAAAAGTTTTAGCCAAACAAACTGCCATTGATGTTGTACAAAAGTGTTGTACAATATTTTCGAGCTATTTTTGGCTACAAGAAATATGATGTAGTGTGAACCCAGCGTTATGTTTTGTTCTTCAGGTTGGAGGAGAGTGGAGTCAGTGTAAAGGCCTCGTGGCTTACACACAGAATTCCAAGCTTTGGATTTGTGATTCAGCAAGCCAGCCAGCCAGGCAGGTGAGGTACTGGTTGTGTTCACAGCAGAACCAACTTACCTCATGACATATTGTCTTCATCATACAACCATTTTGGTTAAGTATGAAGGCCAATAGAATATTGCCAAATAAAATGTTTGGTAACACTCTCATTTAGGAATGTAAATAAAATGGCAAATTTTTGTATTTAACATTTTTGTGACATTCTGGAAAAGATGATTGCCAGTTATATGTCATTGAAGTTTTCCCAACAGGAGTGAAATATACACAAAATACAACTTGGCGTAGTTAAAGCAATCCATACAGCAAAACTTGTAGATGGCATAGGGCAGTGTTATACATGTACATGTATGTATCCTTTCCAGGTTGAATGTAGATGTGTTGAAATCCAAGGGCATCCTCCCAGGCCCGCTGTATGCAAAGATTAAGAAAGGAGAAACTATCACTGCCCCCAGTGGGGAATTGGTAAGATATAAATTATAACTTATCAATAAAAATGTCTGATAATATGTTTTAAAAAGAAAATTTTACCGTCATTTCTTGGACTCCTAGGTATTTTTATCAAATGACTGTGATGATGTTGGTATTATATAAAACGTACCAACAGTTACTGTGTTATCAAAAATATCATTTGTGTCTTCTTTGTAATAAAAGTATCATGAAAATTCCATGTTAATCATTTAATATAATTGGATTCATAAGCTGATTGTGCCTAAAATCTGAATTTGAACATTCAATTTATTCCTAATGTCTATTAAAATGATCAAAATGATCAGCCTGTTTTGGCCCGACATGATGGTATTAAAGAGGCTTGTGTTCCTTACACTGGGCTTTTGCAATTTTTTCCTACCTTTTCATCACAGGTAAAACCAGAAGATGTCCTAGGACCAGATAAGCCCGGTAAAAAAGTTGTCATCTTAGGAGACACTTCAAACTCTGACAGCATAGCTAGCATAGCTCAAGGTGCAGATGTGTTAGTGCATGAAACTACTCTGGAAAATGACATGGTGGAAAACGCTATAGAGAAAGGTCATTCCACCCCAGGTGATTAGACCATGAAAATATTTATTTATTTATTTATTTATTTATTTATTTATTTATATTGAAAAATGTACTTTGTAAGAAAAATGAAGCAGGAATAGCAGATCAACCTTCACTTGTATATAATTATTTCTAAATTTAATGAAAAATAAACATTTGAACTCTTTGTCTTTAACTTGGAAAGGAATGTTTGGACCATTGAAGAGTTCATTATATGATTAGACCAATGTATTGTTGACATCAGTCTTTTTTAATGCAGTGTAAGCTTGATGGCATGTGAACACTGTTATATGTGTAGTTCAAAAGGACAAATCTCCTTTCGAAATAAAAAATGTGGATGACTGACATTTCTCATTTTTTTAAATTGCAGCAATGGCAGCAGCATTTGCTAATATGATAGGAGCCAGACACCTGATAATAACTCACTTCAGTCAGAGGTACAGGCCAGTTAATGCAGAGATCACTGATGACTGTGTGAGTATGGGACCATTCCCACTTTATTTGGATCGATCTATCTCCCTGTGGAGTCTCACTTAATTGCTGTCAACTTAACCGGCTTAAATGTCTGTCACGCCTAGTAAAGCTGTTAGGGGGTAATTATCTTTACCCTAGCTGATTCGGTAGTTAGTGAGACCCCCAGGGAGTTAGACTGATCCAGATGGATCGATCTCGGCATGGGAACCCAGTGTATGCCTCCAAGGAGGGTCTGGGACATCGGTATAAAAATGGGGACTGATTTTTGTGTATACAAAGAGAATGCTTGTTTGGGTTATAATTTAGTTCGGGGATTAGTTTGGGATCATAAATAAAGAGGCATTCTCAAATTAGAGGTGTATATATTATATAAAGTTAAACAAAACTAGCCTTTATAAATCAATTGCCACTATTTCAGTTATCCATTATAATGTGTTTTAGCTAATTATACTGCTCCTGGACCAACAGTTGTAATAAATGGAACTTAGATTAAAAGAATATATGTATATATATATTTACAAGATGTCAATTTTACAGGAGGATCCCAGTGTCTTGACTCTACTCAAAGAAGCACAAGAAGGTTTTGGGTTGGAGAAAGTTACAGCAGCCTTTGACTTGATGAGTTTTTCCATTCGGTAACAAAAACTGCATGCCTTATGAAGATATGACAAAGAGTTTAATGTTGTTGATAAAATCCAGTTATGAATACTACAACACGCACACAAAAGCAGGACTGTAATGGATGTGAGTCCATCCAACAGAAGTGACCCACTAATGCCTCTCAGTCTCTAAGGCTGCTGGAGGAGGATTCAAACCCACGCAACAGGGGTGGAAGGAAGTCATCTTCTGGGTCTTCCAGAAAACAGTCAGAATTTTTAGGTTTACATTGACAGGCATCTATTTTTTTCTGTCAGAAGATGGTCAGAAATGAAGGATGGATCAACAAAGATGACTTGGAAGACTATCAGAAAATATCTCTGTTACTGCCCCTGAGAGCAGTTCATGATCAAGGCTGCAAAATTTATATTGCTATGACTTAATGGAATTCCCACTTTAGACCACTGTCCCAAAGTCTATATAAGGCTGTCCAGAAAATTGTATCCTGCAAGTTTAGACACATCTTCACTGAAGCATCCACAGCCATATAACAACTTTTGGAGTCTAAGAGTGTGGACTGCATCAAAGCAAAAATGGCTGACAAGGAGAAAGCTTCAGGCCCAAGCCCAGCCCCAGAAAGTCTATCCCCATGGAGGGGGAGAGGAGCTTGCAGATTTTTAAAATGATAGCTGCATGCAAGATTTTGACTGTGTTGTTGAAGCTCTGAAGCAAGCAGAGGATAAGAGTCTGAGAGAAAACCATGTCTTTGGGATCACTGAAACATAGTACATTATAGTCAAATGCTCGCTATATTTTAATTTGATATTAGAAAATGTATAGTATTTAAGAATTGATTGATCTGCTTTGATTTATCCAAATTTGTCAAGATGCTTTTCTCTAAGATATTATATCCAGGCACCCATTTCACAAAAATAAATCAGCTTTTTTTGATAAAATGTTAGTGATACTAAAATAACTAAGACTATGTTGTGTTTCACAAAAAGTCGAAAAGGCTGCTTACCTTCTTTTTATGTCTAAGATTTTAGCACCTGGCCAGATATCTTTGCTTCCTAAGGAGCTGCCAAAAGTGTCTTACTGGGCCAAATAGCCCCGGTTTCCCTGTTAACATTCAGGCGTGAAATCACGTCACCGAGCTTAAAAATCTTACTTATTAAATTAATAGTTTCAAGTATGGACAGTGTTTCTGTATGATACTTAAGCTGCCAGCCTCCATCCCCCACTATTTAACTTCATGTCATATTTAATTTGAGTTACACAATCCTCATGTGGGACACTGTCTTGAACTCTTGAACAGAGAAAACAATGATAGCGTTAGTTTTTTGTACATATCACCTCTGACAAATATATCAATAATTTAAAATGAAAACATTATGAGTACTGTTCGTTCATGTTCACTTTTTATTTGCAAAACTCAGTTTCGTATCTTAAATTGGATGTAGAAGAGGACATAATAATTAGGAAATTAGATGAGGGTTTGGACATTTTAAGTTTTTTGACGTTTATCGAAAGCAAAACGCGGACAGAGACCCTGCACTTTTGTCACTGTAGAAATCGTTCTGGTGTTGGCAACAATTATAGGCAACAGGGTTTTTATCCATGAATTATTTTACTTATTGATCAGTGATACCAGCATGACATCATATCTTTAGCCAATATCTGGAATTGCTCGCATCCGCTTTCGGTAAGTTTTCTATGCCCGGTCATACCAAAGCACGTTATAAACTGACACGTGTTGTCTCATCGAGAATCACCGAACACTTACAGGGGGAAGTAGAGGGTTATGAACTGGTCGTAATTGTGCTGTAATTGTGAATAATAACTCCGAGTGCCAAATATGCCGCATCTTTGATTGTATGCTTCCGACGGAGATGAGCTCAATTCACGACCGAACAGATTTATAAATAGCGTACATTGCGAAGCCATCAATTATCAGATATTAACCCGTCCTTTTTCTTGTACATTGCAACTGATATGCATTGAAATAAACACATTTAACTGACAAGAGAAGTCATGGGCTTACTGGGAATTCCGTGGACATGCCGCGCCTCACGTGGCTAAAAACGACAACTGATAGTGTTTCTTCGCCAATTTCAAGCCAATTGCATCAATTGCTAGACTGCTATAAAAGCCAGTATAACACGCTCCCAGGCGGTTGTCTGTAGGTACAACTCTGCGATTGACTCCTATGAAAGGTCGAATCCAAGATGAAAAACGATACATTTCAAGTAGACGAAGATTTGGACATTTTTGATAATATGACTTTCAACGAAAGCAATACGTCTACAGAGACGCGATCTTGCACTGGGTTAACATGCATGCCGTTCATCACTGTAGAAATCATCCTAGCGTTGGCAGCAGTTGTAGCCAACAGCTTCTTCATCTTGGCCTTCGTACGTTTTAAGAAACTTCGAAAACAGTCAAATTACCTCTTGAACAGCCTTGCAGTTGCTGATCTCCTCACGGGACTGCTAGTCATACCGGTATGTATTATAAACGCGTACCTCATGGACAATGTGCCGGCTTTAAACTACCTCTCATCAGAAAAATACTTCTGTGTGGCAAAGATGAGCATTGGCTCCGGGGTGATGTTTGTGTCCGTCTTTCATCAGCTACTCATTGCAGTCGAAAGATACCTCAGGATCTGTCGAAGCATCCAGTATAGAACGATGTTTTCTAAGAAGAGGCTTGTTATAATTATAATTATGACATGGATCTACAGTATCGCTATGAATCTCCCTCCTTTGCTTGGTTGGAATAATTGGTCCCCTGAGATAGAATGCAGAACTCTTCGAGTTGTACCACATCATAAGCAGTTCGTTATTGTACCACATGCAGTAATATGCATGTTGGCAGTGTTTGGGCTGTATGTAGCTATTTTGTGTTATGTCGTAGAACATAGAAATCGAATGAAGAAATACGCTGCCAAGGAAAAGAAGAAGCAAGACGGCAATATCCATCAGCAGACCCCAGCATCTACAAGTAGTGAGAGAATTTCAGAAAACTCGACCACTACAAGCAGTATCAGTAACTTAGCTCTTGCCATTTCGTCTGAGGAGTGCGCGGCATCGGTTAAAACCACGGGACACTCTGCACGTTGCCGAGAGGAACACCATGGAAACAAAGATGTTCTTGTAAAACCAGAAGAGAGAGTCCTCCATTCAAAGTCAACGATTCAATCTCCACCCAGTGCAAAACTTGCAGACAAATCCGTTAATGAAATGGAAATCAAGGTTGCAATAATGACAGCGATAGTGGTAGGTACCTTCACGCTGCTCTACATCCCCAATGTTATAATGGTCATTTGTGAGAAATACTTCAACGATAAAGTACTTTTTGGAATCCTTTACAATGTGACAGTCGAATTAGCATTCTTAAGTTCAGCTACCAATCCTTTTATTTACGGTTTATTGAATAAAGAAATTAGAGAAGCAATGTTGAACGTTGTTAAAAAGAGTAAGGCTAAGTGAGGCGGGTGTATATGTGTATATTCACTGCCTTGACTTGGTCTCCCGCGTTTGCCTTTGATAGTTGGTACGTACAATGTAAGTCCAAAGGCTGATGTCACAACTGAAATCCCTATCTTTTGGATCAGCATTTTGTTTTTCTTCGCTTCGGGATAACACTACTTGGCATTGGGAATTTTTTTCGTAAAAAAAAAAAAAAAAAAAAAAAAAAAAAAAAAAAAAAACAGGTTAAATATTTTATCTTATGTAGATAAGTAATGGTTTACTTTGGAACAAAGCAGATTAAATGTTGTTTTAACAGTTAGGTCCTGAATCCTTTAACGGAACTGACCTCAACAATTGAAGCGTCGTTTATGTAAGGTTAACGTGTCATTTTATGTCAGTAAAGTATTGCTGTGAAATCACGTTTGTAAATTGTGACAATGTTTTATACACGCGGTATCTTTGGTGACATTTACTAAAATGTGTATTGTTATTTGAAAGAAAATATTTCACCCAAGGATTCGTTGATATTTTTCATCAATGATTAAATCTCACCTTGTCACTATAAAATGTGATTTATTGAGTATTAATTTTAAGTCATTGTATATTATTTTATCATTATTATTATTTGTTGAAGAAAATACGTTTAATGTAAATGAAATATTATTATATTTTAGTATAGCATTTAGATTATTGTTACTGAAATCGTGCGAAATCCTGATACTTGGTGGTAATTTGATTATTTTAGCAAACAGTTCTAGTGCTTACGTGTTTCGTACACAGGTATTAAGATAACAGATAGCAATTAAGATGAAAATTCCACAAACTTTTCCAGATTTCAAAAATCTAATCCATACATGTTTTTACCGTAACATAAGTAGCACTTATGAAGACTTTAATCTGGCTTAATATTATTATTAGACAGAATTGCTTGGGTGAGGTAATACTTGCCTTTATATAAAGAGTGGAAACACTGTTATTGCTGTACCCAAATACATTTTTGATGTCATTTGAATTATAAGCAACATATTACTGTGTAACATTTTATTTTATTTCCATTTATAATCGTCTATTAACCATACATTATTCAAATATTATGAATACACAGTACGTAGTGGCGTGAACAAAACGTGTAACACTTTATCCGTGTATTAATTTACGCACGTTAAGACATTACTTTAATTTTTTGATATTACGGGATGCTTTTTATATAATTTATAACTATACATACAGGCTAGATTGAGGTGTTGCGTTAATTAACACACATATTTGTAGCCTATCGATCCTTTGATCCGAACAATGGCGTACTCAAGATTTGGCTAAGGGAGAGAGGGGTGGTTGGAGACAGAGGGTGTGGTGGGGGGGGGGAGGAACAATTTCGTATCGCTTTTCTTTTCATCCCTTCTCATTGAAATTTTTAACAGAGAGTCGAGAGAAAACGGGCACATGCTCTGCGTCTCATATCTCACTGAGGTACGCATTTCTGGCATTCGGGGGTGGAGGCATTGAATCTAAAGGGAAGCGACACTCGCTGGTACGACCATTGGTCCGGATCTAAACGGCTAGCACTTAGGTATCTACTGTATTTGCAAGACTTGTTTTCTTGAGTTGACGTATGCCAAAATTCTGATATACAAATGTATATTTTTAATGTACTTTCACTTTTACTGCTATAACGGTATGCTAGTACTTAGTATATTACACAAAATGATGATACACTTTTTGTTAGTTTTGTGAAACAAATTTGTTGTAAAATTAATGACTTACACTTTCATTAATTGCAAGTAATAATTAAAGAGAAATCAAATAAGTAAAAGGATAGGATTGATTGCAAGTTTTCCTTAATAGTCAACAAGTGTAAAAATTGTTTTGGAGTTACAAAAAGACAGAAAATACCAAAGTCAAATTAAGTTTTATTTGATTGGTTGATTTTACAGTCAACTTATAATTTTCTGCCACCTGCATAACGCATGTTAACTGAGCTTTGGATATTATCCATGACCAAGTATTCCAAATAATATTTAAGATATTCTAAATGAAAACGCTCTCTTAGAATTTACCAAATAAGGAAATATTGAATGGAGGAATGCAACATGATAACCGAAAATTTCTATTAATAACTCAAGAGATGATGTAACGAAAACAAGTAAATACGTGATCAGTAAAAAAAGGGAAAAGGGAATAAATACTTGTGAATTTGTATGAATAGTAACTACGTGAATAAATGCTTGAAAGCCTCCACTCGTAGTCGTCGTCACTATAATAAATTGAATTTTTTATCAGTAACACGATAATTTTATCTATTTAAATGGATTGATTTTGAACGAAAATGTAAACAATCATTATCACATATGAGGTGCACAATAATTCCCAGAGAATTAAAAAATTATGCCATTTATGCAATGGCAGTCATATTACACTTAACATTTTACGATATTGCATCTGATGAAATCTGTTACTAATATTCTCCGTCTGATGTTTTGACGGCTAAATGTCGTCGGGTTTCGGCGTGCATGTTAACATTTTACTTAAACGTACGGGTGCAGAGCCATTACTTTGTCAAGATCACTTGACACCAGGCCGGGAAATCCGACAATCCAAAAACAGGCTCAACTATCATCACGATCTCTGTTAGACGATTGCGTACGATACCCTGGGGGAGAGGGGGGGGGGGTATCACAGTTCACGGGAAATACAGTAAATAAAAATAAAACTTTATCATATCATATCATAAGGCGAATCGAAAAGCCTGAAAATCACGCATCACCGGGTATAGTGAGTTCGTTCCACGGAGGGCGAAGGATAAAAAGCCGCATTCGCGAGTCACTAGAATGAACGTTTCACGCATCTCGGGTCGAAAAAAAGTGGTTTTCACGGATAATAAAAATACCCAATGGGACCCTTCAAATTAAAAGGGGTCTGAACCAGATTAACAATGGCATTAATGTCATGCAAAAACTCTCGCTGGGCAGTAGAAAAAATTGAATAAATAAAAAATTAGCCAAAGACATAGGTCCTCTCTTGGAACTAGAATTTTGACTAAAAAAACAACTGAATCATAGTTCGATATAAACGTACGAAATGGTAGGCCTACCGTTCGCCCTCTAAAATACCAATTTTTTTCGGGGCCTTTTATCGGGCCCCGAACCCCACGCCAAGTTAAACATATATTTTTATTAGAAAACATTTGTCACTTTTGTAGGCCTTTTCACAAAATACAAGTAATTAGTAGGCCTAAACATGATTAAATGCTTACAAGGTAATAAATTTAAAAGTTACAAAATGTGGTGAAATGTAACATCAAAGCGTAAAAACTACATCAAAAAATAAATATATTAATAAATAAATGAAAATAAATCGGATGATGTCCTATTATTCTATTCTTTGCTTTATTGATATGTAAAAGACCCACGCGCTTTTACATTGTTATCGGTGTTGACAAATATTGAAATGGCGCGTAAGTAACCCCTCGCGAGTTTACACGAGATTATGCCCAGAACAAGCATAGCAGTGCGAAAAGGACGTTTCCCTAAATTTCAAATATTCATAACTTCGGAGATGAGTCTAGAAAAATTGTTTCACTTTGCATAAAGATGCACTAAATAAATTTGTAAGCTAAAAATAAGAACCAAAGCAAGACGTTCTCTCGATCGATAGTTTGCAGTAAATAACTTAACAGCTGCTTAACGCTATGCTCGGTCGCCATTTTATCCATTGGTAAAAATCCAAGATGGCGAGGTTGCGCTTTCCCGGGCGACCAGGTTTCAGATTCGGCCGAAAGGGTGTGCGTTATGGAAAGGATGAGTCTCGAAAGACAGAAGATGCAACATTGAAGCTTGTAGCTAATATCCACCGTGGCTTGCGCTGCTTTTATGAGCTCTTTGGTGACTCAGACACGGTAAAGTATTCTCCTTTCTGCTACGGTGTAAACCTCATGGCGAACTCGAACGATTTCCGTAAATATTCCGAATGAAGTCATAATTTCTGAACGCACATAACGCTTATCACACTTTGTAGCCCTGAAGTTGGCCCTGCACATGTTAGGTGAACATTCTATTGGAATATTTTGTCATGCAGGGGTGCATGATGATTTTAATTTTGATTTTGAAATTGACAATCGTGAAACTAGGTCATCGTAATTACTCCAGCTTTTACGATCAGAAAATTAGCTCATACAAAGTGTGCCCCATGCGGGATTCTAAGGGTATAGATACATCCAACCAGCTCAGGCGATATTACATGTTTATGGTGATGGTGCTATAATAAATATTTAAATCTCTCCTGTGTGCTCAGCCTTGCTGACGGTAGAACAACAATGTGACAATATTAAGTGTGTTGACACTTGGACTAGCTGTCATTGTCACTGACAGTGTCAAATTGAAGTGCATTTATTTCACGAGAAGGAATGGTTCTTAAATTGACAATAATAAGAATAAGAATAATGATACAAAATCTTTCTGTCTCAAATAATATATTAGATTTCTCAATGAATGATGCTACTCATATTTTAATTGATCTACACTTTAAATAGTTAACCTGCAGTGCACTACACAACACAGGTATATAAGGTTTCGTGGCTGGCCACAGCCATCTAGAATGACAGTCATCATATGAATCCTCTTCCAATATCAAACCAGAAATGAAATCACCTGTTTAACAATACTTGGAAGTGTAGTTTGAGACAAATATGATCATCTTCAGAAAAAAGCAGTGGGTTCCTCTTTTGTATTGGTATCAACAGTGTCTAGTTTCGAGATAAGTATTGTTTTGCATATAATAGATAAATCTTCTCTTTTCATTTTGATTTACCTAGACAGTATGAATTGGCTCCGAAATTTCCATTTCCATTTTGCAACATTTACAGATATGACATCATCTATGTGCATTTGTTTATATTTAGGAGGATGAAACCTGCATGGTTTCTTCATAATAATAAGAAATTAAAATTGATAAGCAGGGAAGTGAATGAATAAATGACTAAATAGGTGCATTAGAGGACAAAAAGTTGGATGATTTAGAAAAAATTGATAGAAAAGGCAGGTCCACAAGTAGGTCTTCAAGTACAATTTAGATAAGTATTTGGAAAGCTGTTTGTTCTGGGTCAGCAATGGTTACATATGGAATGGACAAACATTTAATTCATCACAAAGGTGTGATAAAGATATATTTCTTTAAACGGCTGATGTTTTGTGTGATTTCATTGATTCAGACTTAAAAAGGTTGGGAGGGTCGTGCCATAACATAATACACAATGGCATCTTTCCCTTGATCCAGTACTCCAATCATGATTAAAGTTAGATATATTTGAAAGGTGTTTATTTTAACTCAAGAATGATTAGAGAGATGAAGCAAAGGAAAGAAACCAATGAGTACTACATCACCAATGAGTAGTACATCACAATTTATTTAGTGGTACACCTAATATACATATATATGCATGCCTACTAGTATTGATAAAGTGCACAGCAGGCCTTTTTTATTTATTTTTTTTTTAAGTCAGATAAAACTTTTTTATGATATTTGATGTTTCAATCTCTTTTAAATTATTTTTCAGGATGAAGATGCAACATTTGAAGGATTCACTGCCCGGCAGCGCAATGAAGTTAAAAAGAGGTTATCAACAGTTAATGAAAATCTTGAAAAACTACGCCAAAGTCTATTCAGACAAAAGCAACCAATCAAAAGACAAGCAAGTAGTGACTTCGCCAATCTTCCAGTTTCTCAGAAAAAGATCGCAGCAAAGACTTCTTACAAGCATCTTGTAGACCAAGGTTTAGTAAAACCATTAAAAACTCACAATTTGAAAACTGTAAGTAAGAAACCGGGACACTTTTTACCAGTGAAAGGGTCAAAATTTAAGGTATGTCTTCAGGGCAGTGCAAAGCAGTTAGTGAAAAGTGGAAAATCATTGGATGTGGATTTATCAAGCAGCGATAAAGATTCTTCAGATGAAAGTGATGATGAACCATTAAGTAGAAAAAAAGTTGTTCACAAAGCCAAACAACATGGGAAGAAAACTGCTGGGAAAGATGTTGCTAGGGCGCTTCTTAAATCTGTCAAGGAAAAACAGAAACTTGCAGCAAAAGCTTCAACCAAAACAACGGAAAAAGGAACTAAAACAAATAAAACAGAAAAAAAAGAATTTGGAAAGACAAAAGTCAGGCAACTTCTTAAAAAGGCAAAATATGGCAAAACACAAAAGAAGAAGTTGGTTCCAGTTACACCCCCTGAGAAAAAATCTCCAAGATCTACAAAATCCTCTCCTGCATCCACCCCACGGATCACTCCCAAAAAACAGTTTGTGCTGCCAACAAAATCAGCAAGGTCTTCGCGTGTTATCAAACCAAACAAACGGCTGCTGGAGGAAGATGACTTTGAAGATTATAGGCAGCTGAAGTTGCCACGCACAAAATCGTCAGGTATGCCCGATTTTACCTCTCTCAGTTCCGGGACAGCTGGTGATGCTAGAGGTGGTGTGGACGCTGACCTTGAAAAGGGGTCGTTGTTTGGAGGTTTGGATTCGTTAGTGCCTCCCCCTGTGCTTTCCACAGATCCAAAATCGGGACTCTTTGAAAAACCACTTGTCATGGAAGGGAAAAGAGAACGTAAACCCAGCTATATTATGTTACTTAAGCTCTCGGAACAGGAACAAAAGAGAACGTTAGAAAAGCGGATGAAGATTGAGGAAGCCAAACAAAAGCAACATGGTCGGATGTCCATGAGAGTTAACCAATCAGATCGTGAGAAACTGAAGCAGCTGGAGCGGTCAGCGAAGGCTGCTACTAGGAGTGGTCGGAGTATTCTTCAGAAGGCGAAATTACAGCTAAACAGGGCTGTGTTGAATAAATCAAAAGCTGCATTTGCTCAGGGTCTCAAACAGCAGTTAGAAGAAGAAGAAATAGGTAAATGAATGCAGGTTTAAAAATTTAGCCATTCATTTGAAAGGTTGTGTCACACTTTAAAGAACTAAATACATTCTAACTTAATATAATTTGTTTTTAAAATAGTATTTTTAAAAACTTTTTATTACAATACTAGCATGTGTTCTTGGGAATATTTTTAAGTTTGCTAAATAGTTCCATTTTTTTACTTTTTTTTCTTTTTTTACTCCCAGTAGCATCCCAGTCTTGCCTATGTTGTGGTGACAGCAGTAAACAGTTGATAACTGTTCAGGGACGAAAAGCATGTCGCAATTGTGCTCGCTTCTACTTCAAGGTGCTTGAGGGTAAAAGAAGTCTCAAATGTATTAATGGAACTGGTGAGTGCCTTGCTTGAACCAAACAGGATAGAAACAAAAGGATCAAAGTATTAAAGCACAATTTATCAAAATTGCCAAACATTGGAATCTGACTAAATGAAATATGAAATGTATTGTCCTTTTCTGTTTTATAGTCAAATTTATCACTGCCATAGTCAAATATTTTGAGTTGGCTAAGATTTACAGTTTCTAGCCTTAGACATTTCATCCAGAAGTGAACCCAGCAAAAATGCATTCTGTCACACAAATAAGACCAAATACATCTGCTGTTCTCAACCCCTCCTCTGTTCCTCCACTGCTTTAATGCATTTTGGGAATTATAACATATTTTTATTGTAGAGTGTAGAAAAAAGTGAGGAAAGTCAGAAAGTCGTGATCAGCTCTCATTCAGTTAATCATGGGTTTAAAAGAATTCCCACTCACCAAGAGAAAAAAAAACATTCACTTGTATTTTATCTGTATCCTGATAAGAAAAGGTCCAAAGATTATACACTTAACAGTTTAATAAAAATGTTTTGTTTTATAATGTCCAGATGATTGTGATGTGTCCCGGGTGGATGGTCAGGTACGGTCCTCCTGCAGAGCTTGCCGCCTCCAGAAATTCACCCAAGGAACAAGAAAGGAGGTTAGTTAATGTAATGGTTACGTCTTCAATTAACAGCTGAGATGAGAGTTCTTGTTCTCTATAGTGTTAAAATCACCTCCTTAAAGGAATAAGGTAGAAGTTGTCCAGATTTTTTTCTTTCTTTTCGTTTTGTTTTCTTTTGTACAGTATGGAAAATAATGAATTGAGCAAGATGGTAGTAAAATTAGAATGTTATTGCAACTTTTTGTCTTCACTTGCAGGATGCTACTCTGAGAGCATTGGAGAAAAATTGCAGCAGCAGAGGTGACGCCGCCACTGGGCTGGAGAAATGGTCGCAGGGCAACTCAGACCCAGTGTGTGTCGTCTGTGGAGATCATGTCAAACTCTCTCTGTCTACGACTGATAATATCTACCGCTGTTCATCTTGCCGCTTCTTCTACTACAACAGAAGCAGCAAAGGAATAGATCCAAGTCACCGGAAGTGTCTACAGCAAGGTAAGTTAAAATACCTGGGCCCCGTAACTTGAAAGCATCGTGTATTGCAAATAGTAATATCACATAGAGCCTACAGTGTATTATATGGGGTGAGTATGGGCGAGTTACGGATTCGAGACTCTTGCACTCGATTGCAATGCTTGATGGTTTCAAGTTACGGGCCCAGTACAGATTGTCAATTTCGTAGAATTTTAATTCAGTGTCACTTATTTTCCTTTAGATATATAACTGGGGTCATTTTATAAGTATGTAAATTTTTTTCTGCCAAATAGCTGGTTAATTTGAGTGAATTCTAAATGTTGAACTTAAGCATAGATTGGTTTAAGAAAAGATGGTAAAGTGTATTACGCTTTCCTTTGAAAATTAGAAGTTTCAGCACTTGAATGACATATTTATGTGAGAAGAATGAACTCAGGACAGTTGTGATTTTCTGATTAATTACCTTTTTTTGTTTGTTTCACTTATGATTTATGTATAGGTAATTTGTGTAAAGACAAAAAGAATATTTTCTTCCTTTAATTGTAATTTAAAAGTGATGTTAGATGCTGAAGGTATATACTTTGACTCCCCCCCCGATGTAATGTTACACAGAATGTTCATACCAAGTGCAAACTGTCACTTTCAGAAAAAAAGAATCTTGTTTTGAATTAAGTTTCTTTGGTATTGTCCTTCCAGGCGACTGTGAAATACTGAGGAATAATGGAGAATGGGTGACCAAGAGATGCATTCCATGTCGTCTGAACAAGTGTATAGAGTGGTTTGGAGGGATAGGAAGGCGGAAATCTGGATTCAAAGTAATCGTCTCTGTTAGAATTTGCTCCATTTTTAAGATAAAGTCTATATGTGATAATATTAGCACCTTGGGTATAAATTTCACGGAGGTGCTAGTCATCTTAGCTATTATGAGGTATTTAGCAAAATGTTCAATGTTATATATTAAGGTAATGTTACAATTAATGTTTAAAACAATAAATGTAAAAGATCATTAAATTTTACAAAAAGTTTTAAGATGTGATGTCGATGATTTACTGATTTTGATAAAATTAGATATATTTGTCTAAAGGTGAGGGTGTGGGTTTGAGCTGATTGATATTTTATCTGACTTGAGTTATCTCTCAGACTGATCTCTGTCATTTTAGTCCCCGCAGCCTACCAGTGAACATGTTCTGGATGGTACTGGAGAAGAGATGCCAAGCTTTGCCAGTCTGGCTGCTGAGGCTGTTGGTAAAGAAGGTACAATATATGTCTTCACATCTTTTCCATCTTGTTTAACATAAGAATGGATTAAAGAAATAAATTGACAAACAATATAAAGTTGATTGAAATTTGGCCACCTGAGGGCTGTTTTTACTAATGCCAAACCCAGGGGAGATTTATTACGGAATTTACTCTAATTGAGCATGAAATAAATATGTTAATCTGCAATGATTGATAAGAGTACTGAAATATAAACTTGTCCACAGTATAATGGGAATCTGTTTCATATGAAAGGGTTTGTGGATATTTCGTGCGGAAATCTGTGTGATTAATTTCTGTTTTCAATAATTTTGCAGATATTTAAGGCATATTTGAATTATTCTTAACTTGTAAGTTAAATATAATTGCAGGCCACATGTTCAATCCAAATATAAACATTGACATTATATTCTAGATAAATCCCTTTTTCATTTAGGCCAATCTATACTAGGTGAAGGACAATCGGTCATCAGTCCCTCCAGAAGGCTGGATTTCGGAGACACAGAAGCGGAGGTTGCTGAGCCAATGGCAGAGTCAGCAGATGGCACTGAGACAACTCCCCTGGTAAAAGGAGGCCCCAGGTAAACTAAAAATTACAAACTCAAAGTCTTGAGTTATCTAACCTAGCAGTTTCTGATATCATACCATTTGATGATAACATTTGTCTGTTTTCACACTAAATCACCATTAGTTTAATTAGTTTTTATAAGCTTCAGCAGGTACTTAAGTATTGTGATATTTTTCCTGTTGTCCTTGAACAGCAATGAACCTTGTTGTTCTTAAATGTAAAAAAATTCCTTATGCATGGATAATTTACACGTTCCTTAAACTGTGATAATTCTTGATCATCTCCAAACAGTTTAAAACTATGTCCTTCATGACGATCCATGGTTTTTCTTAAGCAATAATGATCTATCTTGTCCTTAGTGATGTTCCATATTGTCCTAAATTTCCATCTAGGATTAAGCATGTGTGCAGAAAGGCAGCAGTGGCTCTGGGCACACCAGCGAAGTTCCCACTAACCCCTGAACTCCGTCTCAGTGCTCTTCCCAACCTGGAGAAGGCACAGATACTGAAGGATGAGGAGAAAGCCAGGGCAGGTGAGTGAGAATGCGTTGGTTGAGAAACATAGTGGTTGTGTTGGTTGAGACCATTGTGAGGGGAAGAGATTTGCCAAGATAAATATTATACCAATGTTATATCAGTAAATGGCTGAGAATTAATATATGCCTCATTTGATGTGATTAACTTTGAAAATGTTTATTATGTATCATTATATATGACTTTTTAAACCAAGAACTGGAACAAAATTTTTCAGGAGACAGCTCTGACTCTGATCTTCCAATGGACGAAATCATATCCAGGTCAGAGGACAAGAAGCATGATGTTGTCCATGTAAAGAAGACCACCCCTGTAAAGTCCTCCCCGCGAAAGAGTCCCCTGGAGAGACGGCAACCTGTGGTGAAAATACCAGGCAGGCGCATGATGCGGTGTAAGAAATGTCCTGGGTGTCTTACGAAAGATTGCGGCGCATGCGTGGCATGCAGGTTAGTATTTTTATGCTGACTTGAAAAATAATGTTTTTGTGTTTCTTAAACTTACACTTCATAGAAATATTTTGTTTTCTTTTGCCTTTGTATTTATAGGAAATGGTTTATGCATATTTGAAAATCAGTTGGAAAGGAAATTGATACTACGTAACAATTATTTGAAATAAGTTATTTATGAAACCTGTTGATCCTTTATTGGTATGGGACTTTTATTTTCTAAATTATCTTTCCAAGGGACATGCCAAAGTTTGGAGGAAAGGGTCTAGGAAAGAAGGCTTGTGCGTAAGTATGCTAGTGTTAATGTGACGGTGTAACAAAAAAATGATCACTGATATTCACTTGTCTGTAGAATTACTTTTAGCTTCCAAAGCAATAATTATGAGCAATTTTAAGCATTAGTATTCAACATCAGCTGTAGCATAGAGATTATCAGTAAATATTTCTTATTGCTTTACCAATTAAAACTTTTCTTTCAGCAAACGCAAATGTGCCAATCCTATTTACCCTTATCAACGCCCAAAAGAGAAGTCCCCTAAAAGAAGTGCAGCAACAGCTTCCTCAACTGTGCGAAACGCAGGGCATAACTCCGGCCATAACTCAGACACAGACAGTGTCGTGTCGACTGGAAGCAAAGCTAGCATTTCGGAACAACTAATGGCCAGGTTTTCAGCCAAAGAGGTCTTGACACCTCCCACTGACGTGGCTGAGAGGAGGAATAAGAAGGCAATGGATGGGAAGACTGGTGATGTTCCAGTTCCAGCAGTGTTACAGCAGAAGAGAACTGGCAGGATGATTGACAAGGTGAGACTTGAAACTGACTAAAGAGATCTAGAAACTGATTGACAAGATGAGACTTGAAATTGACTAAAGAGATCTAGAGACTGATTGAAAAGGTCAGACTTGAAACTGACTGAGGAGGTCTAGAAACTGATTCACTCGAAAAATGACTCGGGAGATCTAGAAACTAACATGATGCACTGAAGGATATATATAAGCTGAATTTCAAATGCATATCTTATAATTAAACAAATTAATAAATCCAGCAAAAAATGGTGCAATTTTATATATATATATAAGATATGCATTTGAAATTCAACTTAAAACAAAGTAATTACAAATTAAAACCACTCTAGCATATACAGCTTAGCCATATACTAAACAAGTTATCATTTTGCATAAATGTATCAGGCTAAAATTGCACCATTTTTTGCTGGATTTATTAATTTGTTTTAATCGAGAAATGTGAATTTATTAAATTGATGGATGAAAGGGAATTATGTACAGGAATGTTACTTTTGATCCTGTTGAGCCAATACTTTTACTGTTAGTCCTCAAAATTCATTCCCAAGGATCATCAGCCAGTAAAAATTGATTCGCCCTTTTGGTAAGTAAGATTGCTGGACCGTTACGATAGTTTTCTTAATGCTTCAGACCCAGCGTGACCTTCTGTCTGCAAAGACCGCCATTATGCCGGCCTTTCCCACAGCCAGACAGAGGCAGTGGTCAATCAGTGGGCAGAGCAAGCACAGAATCATGGCAGATTTTATTGTAAGTTGGTTTTATATAAATTTTAGTTTTAAAAGTTTATGTCAGAGATTATAGTAGGAGATTGTGTGGCATCATAAATCATCAAATAAAATTGTTGGATAAAAAGAACGTTGCAAAAGGTTGCAAACTTGGGGGTTTTACGGATCTTGGTTTCAAAAATCGTCTTGAAATTTAATTAAGCCAGTTATATATAAAATGAATTAATCATTAAATTATTTGAATGTCAACTCTCATCCATTGTGTGAAATTTCAGGAGAATTATGACATAGATATTGCATGGGAGCGAGGTCTGTCACTAATTGCAGCAACACCATTTTGTGTGCGGCTCGTCTGCTTCCTCTGTGGCAGTGCTGGACAGCATGATGTGAGTTAACATTAACTAAAATAAATATTTTGATATTAATTACTTTAAAGACATTTTATGCTAAGCTGTATGGAGCTCAAAGGAGAGAAAAGAGTCATACAGATTATAAAGTTATTCTGGAAAATGAGTTTTACGTCACATTTGTAGAATATGAATAGTATAAAACTTACTCATTGACACTGTGTGGTCTGTCTGCCAAGTCCAACTTACGGACTGCATGTTTAAGATGGATATTTGTTTTCAGCAAATTTACTGTGGTATTTGTTTTTAGCTTTGTCACATATTTTAATTTCAATTGAACCAGTGTAGTTTTGATAGAAACCATTCCATACTTTATATTTTTAGTTAATTTACTGCAATATTTGCTGTGAGCCATTCCATCTATTTTGTCTGGAGGAACATGAGAAACCAAGCAAAGATGAACAAGAAAACTGGTTATGTAGACGATGTCAGTTCTGCAATGTGTGTGGTAGAAGGAACAATGTAAGTCAGAGCATTTTGATTTCATTTTGTAGAGTTTATAATCTCTTAATTTGAAATTACAGGGGTAGAAACCCATTTAGTCTGTGACACATTTAAATTGTTACAGGTTCATGTCACTTGCTGTCACAGGCTGCATTGGTACAACAAGGAAAGTCTGCTTACTTTCAGAAGCACATTATTGAATGCTCAATCTAGAAAACTTAATAATGCCCTGTTTATAGTCAAATTGATTTAAAAAAATAATTATTTCCAGCTTTTGCAATGTGACAAGTGCAACAATACCTATCACCCCGAGTGTCTGGGTCCTAACTACCCAACCAAACCATCTAGGAACAAAAAAATATGGGTGAGTTCGGCACAGTTTACATAGTTGTCTTATGAACTCCTTTCTTCTCTCCTTAAATCAAAAAGGACACCCCAATTTCTTTAATTTCAGGGTATAATGTTATCACCAGGCATAGCATAAACTTACTAACTCTTGTACTTGGTATTCTGCTGAATCACCCTTAGTTTTAGAGTTTATTGGACACTAACTTCCTCTAGCAGTAGAGAATTTGCCTATAATAGAGGCCAAGTTTCGAATTATTTTGAAGCCAGCCTAAAGAGTATTGGAAGACGAGCTCCAAGTAGCTTGCCTTTTTTTCCCCTTTCATATGGCAAAATAAAACTATATTTCAGGTGTGTACAAAGTGTGTGAAGTGTCGTAGTTGTGGGGCCACATCGCCAGGAACAACAACAGGTGCTATGTGGACGCATGACTTCCAACTCTGCTACGAATGTGGGAAGCTAATGGACAAAGGTTAGTATCTGGGTTTACTCTGGGTAGGAACATCTGGCCAAATGGCTGGAGGATTTCAGTCAAATCGGAAGTTTGCTCTAAATTGGTGATAAATTTGGTTTAAAAAAAAGTGGAGCCATTTTAGTTTTCTCCAAGTAAGTCATCAGTCCATATAGATTATGTTTAGCATTGTTAATTAATTGCATTGCCTTTAAATTTATGTTTGGTGTCTTATCATGTAACCAGGTAATTACTGTCCTGTGTGTCACAAGTGTTACTCAGACGACGACTGGGAGTCCAAGATGGTGCAGTGTTCAGGGTGCGAGGCCTGGGTCCATGCTAAGTGCGAGAACATGACAGGTAGGTAGTGGTCAAGTGGTCGAGGGACCATGGGTCAAGTAGTGAAACTGTGAGGCCAAGTTTGCATGGCTATCAGTCAGGAATTAAGGCCACCAGCCATGAGGGCCACAAGCTGCCATTTCACAAAGTTTTCACTGCTTGTTTTGAGAAAATTTCTCGGAGTTAAACACATATCAAGCTTAAGAACATCTGTAGTGTTTCAGAATTAATTTTCTTTTCAATATTTCTCTTAAATATTAAAATTTCAATTTTTTAATGATTTCAGATGAGGTGTACCAGCTAGTTTCCTATCTCCCTGATGACGTGCCCTTCACGTGTCAGATCTGCACCAAGAGCCGTCCAGCCCAGTGGGAGCAGGCGGTCATGGCAGAGAGAATGGCCGGGTTTCAGATGGTCATTCAGGCCATTACGCAGTCCAAGAGTGCCCAGCATCTCATGAATTTTAAGCATGTAAGTGCACAGAAAGGGGCTCTGTAGAAATTTCGGGTTGAAAAGTTAATTGATGAGGGCAGTTTTGACTTATTTAGAACAATATTATAATAGCTGTTTTATTGTGTTTTTAATTTTAGTCAAAAAAAAAAAAAAAAAAGTAGAGTAACTGAATGTTGCCAAGTTTGTAAGAAAAAAGGGCACCTTCATCAGTTCTGATACAAAACTTTTAGGAAGGAAAAATATTTTCTTTCAAGGTTGACTCATTTTCATTTTTTCAGAGTCTAGAAGAGATGAGTTTATCTGTAACAGCAGGTACCAGTGAAGAATACAAAAATATTTTCGAAGAAGAACCAGTTGTTCTAGAACACACTACAAGGCTGGGGACCAAATTTGGGTCGAAGAAAGGTGAAGGTCATGAAGAAGAACAAAAAGGTGAAGGTCAGGAAGAAAAGAAGGCACCAATCATTCACAGTGAAGCACCAGACAATACGCAAGCCCAGGACATGTCTCGTGATGAAGAAATCATTGTTAATGAAGATCAAAAGCAGAGTAGAGTGACAAGATCTGGCGTCAAGGGCAGAAAAGCTGATCAGGAAAGAGATGTTGATATGGCAGCACCTGGTTGTCATGACACAAAATCAACAGACAAATTTATTGATAAACATGTTAGTCATGTTGATTTGGAACATGATGAACGAGGTGGTATGGGTTCAGATACTAAGGATGAGGAACATGAAAAGACATCTGTTGGTCGTGTGACTAGATCAGGGGTTAAAATTGTGGCAGAGAAAAGGACAGCAGAGAGTGCTTTGCCAAAATCTGACAAAAGGACAGGTAGAAGTGATGTTCAAACAGAAGGCAAAAATGTTCAGAGCTCTATGAATCAAAGTGATGAGGATGTGGACAAGACGTCCAACCAAGAAGATTCTCTACAGGGAGTTGATGGAGGTGAAAATAAGAGAGACAAATCACTACCAGTAGAGGACAGCAGTGTTCAGTTTTCTACCAAAGACAATCTGGAAGAAGGACAACATACTTCTTTCACATCTAACTCAGGGATGGAAGATGCCAGTGAAGATGGCAAGATTTCAAGTCAAGGGATTTCCTTTGAAAATAAAAGTGATGAAACCACAGATATGTCTAAATTGGGTTCAGTTTCCACTGGTACAGATGTGGAAATGGTGGAGCAGACAACAGAAGCTGACAGCACAATTAACCAATCAGAATTACGTTCAGCACATGAATCTCAGGATGAAAAAGAGGCCAGTTTTGGATTAAAAGCTGATGAAAGCACAAACTTGTTGGCACTTGTTCAGGCTTCATCACCTATATATAAAGGTGAGGAAAGCTCAGGCATTAGTGACCCTAAGTCCCATAGTTTAGAGAGTGACTCTTCCAGGAATGATAAAGGGGGTACTCAGACAATCCCTAGCTCAGGCCAGAGATTATCTTTGACAGATGTAACATCTGAAAGCTGCACAAACATTAACAATGTTCAAAAAGCAACCAGTGCAAGACAAACAGTCTCCACATATGAAGACCAGTTCATCAGATTTGCCCTGGGAAGTTCTGAAGGATCAGCATTAGCCAAACCATTACCAGGTGGCAGCAGCAGTACAGGTAAAACAAACAATCAAGAGGAGCCAGTGCAGCAAGTCGTATCACAGAATCAAACTAAAACCTGTGGTGAAACCATGGACACAACAACATCATCACAACAAAAAGAGGATTCCCTTAGTATACAGACAGGAGACAAAACATTGAGTGTTGTATCACATGGTGAAGTGGCAGGTGGTCAAGAGGAACAGCAAGATGAAGACATCTGGCCAGAGGGCTGCCCACAGGACTTCCATCAAATTAAAACCAAACTGACCGAGAACCAATACAAGACACTGGTAAGAATTTGTGTCAAATGATAGATTTTAACTGAAAATTGTTGAGTAAAATGTTGATCCTGATCGGGATTAATTTTTGTGAACATTTTCAAAAATGTGTGTAGACTGTGGCATATAAGAATACTAATATAATGCAGCCTATGGGGGTTATAGAGATATTACCATGATAGAAAATATTTTAATTAGGATGTACTATTTTCCAGGAGGAGTTCAGTGATGACATCATCAGGATAATTCAGGCAGCCATAAAGAAACAAGACCTGTTACCTGGCTATGTGAGGAAAGCAAACAACACAGTTCGGTCCATATTTGTTAAGGTTAGGACAAAGACACAAAGACTTTACATGTGACTCGTATTTAAACACCCTAAATTGTATGGGTTTACAATTATATAAGGTGTATATATTTCCGTTCTATGGGTAGGATTTTCCTGATGTTGAGGCAAAAGCTGTTACATTTTTTTTAATCCTGTTCTTTTCCTCTACTTTCAATGTTTAATGTTAATGTCTGTAATATGCTATTTAGTAAATTGTAATTATGCATTCAGACACTTTCACATTTACCCAGTTCACCCTGATCCTAAAACACATTCCTCGTCTTTTCAGCAAATGGAGAAATGTTTTCCTTGGTTTAATGTGAACAAGTCTAATCTGTGGGGACACAGCAGCAATCTGCCAGCGTAAGTTTTATAATGAAAATGACAGCTGAAGAACAGATTTTTTATTATAAATACATGCTAATTCCACTTCTTGAGCTCTATTGATGTTTTTTTTTAAATTTAAACCAACAGTGGACTGACAAGTGACATTTCAGTATTTAAGTAATAAAAGGAAAATTGAATTTCTTCTATCATATTTTTACTCACAAGGACTTGTAACACTTTGGTATTTGACTGATGAAAACATTGAATAGCTTTTGCAATATTTTCATTGTCCAATTCCAGAGGGATGCTGCCAGACGCGGTTATCCCCCCAACTGATGACCACACCTACGCCCAGTGGCTGGAGAGAGAGGAACACCCCATTTCACCACAACCCTCTCCCTTTAAGAAGATGCTCAGGTCACCCACAAAGACTGTAGTGCCCATTGGTAAGACTTCAGCAGTTTCAAGTCTTGGGACCAGTTTAACAATGGAACTATACAAAAAGAAGTCTTAACTTTGAGACTGAAACTTTAATAAATCTTAAGTCCTTTTTCCTGATGCATTGTTCACGTTTTATACCAGAAAAATTGCAAATGTGACCCGAATAGTTATTTTAAGAGATTTACTTTCAGTTGTTGTTGATTACAATTTTTGATCCCAAATTTCAGACCAATTTTGAAGAGGTATTTTTTCAAACCAACACCAGATTTTCCATAAATCATGTCTTTGGTCAGAATTGAAAGTGACACAAGTGTTCTAAGTTTGATGATAAAAATATTTTAATTTTCAGCCTCCTTGACAGAGAACGCGGGGAACTTTGCCACCATGATAACAGAGGTCGACCAGCCCCTGAAGGAGACCAGTGAATTTTTGGGGGAGGACAACAGAAAATGTTCCTTCTGTGGTCAGGTTGGAGATGACACACCAAATGTTAGTAGACTTATTTATTTATTAACTAAGCTAAAAGAGAAAAAAATATGTGGGTAATATACCTTAAGCTGGCATCATGCAAAGAGAATGTAATCCACATATTTGTGATATTATTATACATAATTTAATATTTGTTTATTATTCTGTTGTTGAAAAGAAAGTATATGTAACAACTAAATATCAAGCACTTATAGTGTATAAAGATAACCACAAAATGCCACCAACTTTTAACTTTGTTCTAATATTTGTTGCCTGTTCCCTGAGTCACTTTAGACTTCTGAGCATTACCTGTGTAACTAACCAATATGACCGTCACAATTTTCATTTTCTCCAGGATGCAGGCAGACTCCTGTATGCTGGCCAGGACGACTGGACGCATGTCAACTGTGCCCTGTGGTCAGCTGAGGTGTTTGAGGAAGTGGACGGGTCACTCCAGAATGTCCACTCAGCAATGGCCAGGGGAAGGATGCTGGTATGTACTGTAATGGAGGGAGTCAGTTTCATTTTTTAGGAATATGATTCACATATAATTATCAAAAAAAAAAAATTTTTTTAAATGCATGCAGACAAGGTAAAAGATGAAGAAATAGGAAACATTTTTCTTTGCTAGTTTTGAATAATTTAAGCACATTAAGCACAAGGCTAAAGTTTATTATGCTAGCCTGTTATTATCTTCCCTGTATAGCATGTTAACAAGTATGAATTGTTTTTTTATCTGACTTGAAGAAGTGTGAAAGGTGTAAGCAGAGTGGTGCCACTGTTGGGTGCTGTACCAGGGGCTGTCCAGCCAACTACCACTTCATCTGTGCCAAACAGGCCAACTGCATCTTCCAGGAGGACAAGAAAGTCTTCTGCTGGGAGCATAGATTTCATTTGGATGGGGAGGTAAAGAAAAATGCTTGTTTTTCAATAGCTTCAGTGTTATAACAACAGTTACACAGATGATAAAACCAAAGTTATGACTTCTTTTAAAATTTAATTTTGTAGCTGTCCAACAATTTCACAGATGATAAAAAGGATTTGTATCTTTCAAGACGAAAGTATTTCATCATAAATGCAGCGTCTCCCTTGTAATTAAATTTTATCAAGTGACGCAATTGTTGATTATTCATTTATTATTATTTTTTGTGTTTGTATACTCAGGTCGTGAAGAAGGACAAGTTTGCAGTGCTGAGAAGAGCATGTGTGGACATGGAGAGCATACGCTGGACCAAGAAGAATTGGGTCAATGGGTTACAACCGGGTGTTTTGAACATTCTTGTTGGTAAGCTTGTGTATTGATGAGAAATTATTTGTGATTTTAAGATAAAAAACAGCAAAAAAAATGTTTTCCCACATTGTTAAGTAAGATCAGGTGAAAGCTCACTTCATTCACATTTGAGTTTATTATGAGATTCATTCAACCATAGGGAGATGGAAGATGCAGAATGTTACCTTTAAATGTCTCCTTAATATGAATTAATTTATTTTTACTTAAAACAAATTTAAAGTCTGCACCGAGTGGTGACAGAAACTTTCAAGGGTAATTATTCCATGTTATCAGACTTGAACCATAATGAACATAAACTTTACTGGGTTCATATAGTAACACCAGGCTATTGTTTGCTTGTTTTCCCTAGGCTCTATGACAGTTGAAAACCTTGGTAGATTATGTCCCATATCTGACCTTCATGATCTGTTGTTCCCTGTGGAATTCTGGTGAGTTTAGTTATTAATTACCCAGTGTGAATTTTCAAAATATAAATACGAAATGACTGGTTTATCATCAAGAAAGTATGCACTACATTAAGATTTTGGCTCTTTAGGTTCTGAAAGTTTTATTCCATATTTAATTTTTGAGTGAAACTCCAAAAGAATTGTAAATCAAAAGAACATAGTTTTGACTTGATAACAAAAATTGATTATTTTATTCCAGCTGCACCAGAGTGTATTGGAGCACCAGAGATGCGCGACGCAGGTGTATTTACACGTGTAGGATAATTGAGGTCCAACCTACGGAAGACAATGCTGCAGATATCATCATGCAAGATATGACCATTGTCCATGATGAGACTCATCCACAGTATGACGCCAAAGCCGTGGAGTCATTTAGTCAATTGAGCACATGCTCAACAAAACCTGTTCATGCTGGTGCACCATCAGTTGTCAAAGAACAGCAGTCTAAGCCATCATTTGTCTCCAATTCTCAACACTTGGAAGACACAGGCGACGTGGAAAAGTCTGACAGGGGGCCTCGTGCCAAGAAGTTGAAACGAAGTGTCAGTTTGCCAGAGGGAGCCATGGGTAGTCCTCAGTGGGGGAACATTGCCAGCACCGGTCTTGGTCAATCTTGGCCCAAAGCACAGACACCCACCACAGTTGATCTCTCTGTGCTGTCTCCCAAGACATTAAAGTTATTGAATCTTGACCCTGGAAAGGTGGTTCCAGTTGTCACCTCTCCTCAACTAGAGGATCATAAGCTGGCCAACCTGAGGAAGTTCACCAAACGCCTTAATGTTGCAGCCAATAAAAACCTGAAAAGAAATGAGAAGCTTTGGGAGAAGCAAATTGCATCAGGGGAGAGTGACACTGATATATCAACTGAAACTCCTGGCTTGCCTGTTCGTGACTATAGAAAGGTGGATGACAAGGGTGTGGTCGAAATGGAAAGGACTGATGAATCAGAAATTGACCATCAATCAGACTCAAAACCAGTTGAGAAGACAGAAACATTAAGCCAGGTGACAGAGGATAACAGTGTTGCAGATTCACATTTAGACAATTTAGAAGTTGAATTGCAGAGAGCTAATGACTCTGACATTTCAGCAGATTTAATCAATAGGTCTGAAGATTCTGTTGAAGATATACATACAAAAGAATCAGATGCATCTCAAACGGAATCTCTGCCCCCAACAAACACAGCAGAATGTGAAGACCTGGTACCCATGGAAATGGACATGGATAAGACTGTTCCAACCTCCAGTTTAGAAGAAGAAGACACCATAGCTATAGAAGTTGAAAGCAATAGGGGTACCATAATCATATACCGTGACGAAACTGAAGAACAGAACACTGAAAATGACAACAAAGAAGCTACTGTGATTGTTCTTGATGAAAAAGGAGAAGTGGTGGAAGTCACAAAGCAGCCAGTTAGTTTAGATGATGACCTAGATGCAAACCAACAGGAACTAGAAAAATCCTCCAACAAAGAGGAGTTTTCAAATGTCAAGGATGCCCCACAAGTAAACGCTACTATTTGTTCAGTAGAACAACACCATAATTCTGACCTCTCTGCTGCAGCGTGCTCAACTCAGAGTGAAATCAAAGATGGATTATTGGATGAAATAGAAGTCCCCACAAAGCAATCAACTGAGACAATTCAAGCTGAGGATGGTATTCAAAAGCAGTTTTCAGGAAACAATGGACAGAATGTTAGAGTGGCAGAAAAGGCAAATGATAGTTGTAGTCAGATTCAGGTGGAAGAGAAAGCAAACAATGAAACAGTTCTTACAGAAGAAAACAAAAATCAAGAAATCAGCTATTCTTCTGATTCATGTCCAGTCACAGGCAGAAGCAATAAAGAAAAGGATGGTGATGCTGAAGATGATGACATCATTTGTGAAAAAGTTGTCCCTCCTCCAACTGCTTGTTTTCCAGTATCAGGAACAAACTTGCTACAAAGTGGTGTCCAGATGGAGCCATTTCAGCCACCTTTTACGACACAGTTGATGGTTTCTAGATCTTCACAGCCAGAGGTCATCCCACAGCCAATTCCATCACTTAAATCCCCTGCCCCAGATCAGTTTAGTAATCAGCTTACACACCAGTCTGATGAAAAATCAATCAGAGAATTACTGGTGCCAACAGTGGTGTCTGAGGCAATGGAGCAGACTTCAGAAGATGACTATCTCAAGAGTTTTAAAAGTGCTGGAAAATCTAATAAGGCCCAGCATGACATCAAGCAAAATAAGACCAAGAGTTCTGTACCCAAAAGTCCCTCTGGAAGTAAGCCATTTGATAAACAACAGGCAATTAGTCCTAGTAGAGGGGGAGCAGCAAGGAAAAACAGCTTTTCTCAAAGTTTTGATTGTCCATACTCTTCTTCTTCCAGTAGCTCCCTCTCCAGGCAAGATAGTGGAGAGTCAGTGCGGGAGATATTGCGTAACAGTATAATTGGAAGACAAAATTCCCAGCCAAACTCACCAGCACGCTCTGATTCTTCTCTTAAAGCATCACCAAAGTCCTCACCATTGGGGGCCAAAGCAAGTCGTGAAAACGATCCCAAGCAGATGAATGCCAAAAAGAAAATCAGTCTAGACCAAAGAAAATCACCAGTGACCAGTTGTCCAGGCAGTGCCAGTGAAATGCTGTCAACCATTGCTGCCTTACACCATTCAACCAGTGTGATGACCCAGGCACACACAGCACCCTTGGAACAAACTCAAAGCTTAATGAATCAGCCACCTGCTTCTATGGTCCAGCACATTCCGGTGAATTCTGTCCACACACCACTTGATGTAATGCAGTCTCAGATGCCTTTAATGCAGACAGCCATGCCTGTTGTAAGGCAGCCCCCATTACCTGTTCTCCAGCCATCCCCACTGCCTTTAATACAGCAGCCACGTGCGTCAGCCCATATGGGTCTACCTCAAGCACCCGTCACTGGCTCTATAGGTCTGCCTTCACTGACCCCACCAGGTCTTCTCCCCATGCCAGTTTTGATGCCAGCAATGCCATGCCCAGTCATGGTTCCACCTGCAGGTGCTTTCCCGGCCATGTCAAATGCCTTACCTCCACCTGTGGTCACTGGCATACTGGCTCCCATTGTGAGAGGTGCCCAGACTGGTAGTACCACTGCTGGAGGAAACATGCCCCCTGTGGTAGATTTGACAGAAGACATGGAACCTGCACAGCAGGAGTCAACTTGTGATCAAAAACCAATAGTAACACTTCCTGAGCAAGGTGCCTTGTTGTCCAGTGGAAATCGGAATTTAAACAGAAATGATGAAAAAATGGATGATAAACCAGCAATTTATTCTTCTCAACCTACAATGAGCAGAGAGAATAGTAAAGCAAAGGCAGCCCCTGATGAATCTGTGGACCGTGTGGTAGAAGATGTGAAATCAGTAATGGTTGAGTTGCTTGATAAAGTAGTAGCTACAGTAGACAGATGTATGCCCTCTGAGCCTAATCAGCTGAGTAACAGCGACACATCTAAAAGCACTCCCGTCATTGATAATAGGACAGCATGTAACCCTCAACTTGGTACGCCTGAGTCAGTATCCCAGAAAGATGAATATATACACACTGACGTGAGCATTAAAGGACAAGACTTTTTAAGAGAAGAAAAAATCAAAAAGAGCATTTCAGATAATTCAAACAAAATACCTATTATTAACAAAGGGGTACTTATTGGATACAAAGTACCATTAAAGAGCATGCATACAAAGGTCCCTTCTGAAGCTGAAAGGAAGCTGAAGGAAGCTGAAATAATTACTCAAGCAAAAGATGGATATTCAAGTGAAGATCAGCACACAGATGGTCAAGTCCTGAGCGATGACTCTCTAGGCAGTCCCAGAAGTCCTCTTAGTCCCAGCAGCGGGAGAAGAAGCAAGAAGGGTCAAAATTTGGTCGGATTGAAGTCTTACCCACTTAGAAGGACTGCTGGCAGATTGGCAGAACATGCCATGTCTAGGGACAAATTGGCAAAGATATGTCGTGAAAGTGAACAAAAGAAATTAGATGAGAAGAAAGCACTTCTTGATGAGAGTGCCAAGGGTAAATTTTCATCCGAAGAGACCTTAGCAGTCATTCATTCTGACAAAAATAAAGATGGGCTATTCAGTGGCTATGAAAAAACGGCACAATCTGGAGATGATGAGACTCTTGGCAAGGACAGTAATGATACATATCCACAAGCAAAAGTCATTTTGGAGAAACTGAACAAATCCCATGTGCGGAGACTATCCCAGGAAGGAATCGAATTTAATGAAGAATTACCTCTTCATGATAAAATAGCTCTTCAGATAAAGCTAAAAAGTTTGGAGCACATTGAAGAAGATGGAGGTCCCTACCGCTGCTCCAATTGCAAAAGAATGTACAGAACTAAGGAAAGCTTTGGACGTCATGAAAAGGATTGTACGGATGTAGTCAGTTCTAGCACTGATGAGAGTGACAATGATGATGTTGATATGCCTGATCATATTAAAGACTCTTCAGTTGAAGCATTGCCATTAGTGAAAAAGCCTGGACGAGGACGTCCAAGAAAAGCACATGTTGAGGAGAAGATTCAGGTAGACCCCTCTGAATTGCATAATGAAAAAGATGATGATGATGAACACGAAGAAGTCAAGAAATTACATAGGAGGCCAGGTAGGCCAAGGAAATCTATCCCACTGGACTTGAATACAAACAAAGATGAAGAAGATAAAGAAGAGCAGTCCACAGAGGAAACACCAAAAAGACGTGGAAGACCTCCCAAACTAAAGCAAATCACAGAAATTGCTTCCAAATCAACTCCGTCACAACTACCTGTCCCACTTACTCAAAAAGTATTGAACAACCCTCCCAAGAAGAAAAGAGGAAGGCCACGAATTAAACCTCTACCAGAAGAGACAAGAGAGGATTCTTATTCTGAAAGCAGTGATGAAGGTTTATCTGAGGTTTGTGGATCTGATGATGGGCAAGGGAGGATGCTTCGCAGAAGGAGAAGAAGCCTGAATCTTGAGCATGACAACACACCCAGCATGGAAGAAAACAAAGATTTAGATCATAAAGTAGCAGGCAGTCCAGAGACTGAAAAGAAGACTTCTGACTCTCAAGAAGGTAATCCAGTTAAGAAAAGAGGAAGACCAAGAAAGTATCCTTTACTGGATTCTTTGTCAGATGATGAAAATGAATCTGCTCGAGAAAATGTACACAAAACACCACAAATTTTAGAAGCTGACCAACCTTCAGATGGGTCTCTGCAACAGAGTGTGAAGAGAGGCCGAGGTCGACCAAGAAAATACCTTGAGCAAAATATATTGGCAAAAGATGGTGATGATGAATCTGATCTAGTTTCAGAGAGCACATCACTTTCACAGAGGAAGAAGGATGTATCACCTTCAAAAAGAGCTGTTGGACGGCCAAGGAAGTATCCTTTGCAAGAGAGAATTCATGCTTTTAAGAGTGACGGGTCTGATGGCAGTGAGGCTGATTGCAGCTCTCAACAACTAAGGAAAAACTTGAAAGATCTAGGCAGTAAGGACCAGAACAGTGAAATTGATTTTGGTGAGGATGATTCTGGGTCACCCACAAGGAGAAGCAAGGGCAGAGCATGCAAGTTTTCATATGGCAGCATGGGGAAGTACACCAAAGCCAAAGAGCAAACCAAAGAAAGGAAACCAAAAGGACTAGATGTGTCACTTTCCAAACAAAATCCAGATGATGTAAAAACTGTAGGCTCAAAATACCCACTCCGTAGAGCAAGGGAAAACTCCATTAAAATGGTTCCAAATCAGAAGGTAATGAAAGCGGTTAAACATTTGAATGATGCACTTAGTGGTGATGAAAGTGATAATGACATGGCATCCATTGAGATTGATAACGACTCTGGTCAAGATTCGGATGGGTCAATTCAATTAAAATTCAATCCAAAAAGATTAACAAGGACTTATGAAGGTAAGGGTTCTAAGAGAATTGAGAGTTTTGGGGAAATTTCAGCACAAAGGCATACTGAGGATACGGACACAAGTTTTGGAGATGACAATACTGAAAGAGGCAGTCTGACTGTAGGGAAGGGGATGAAGGAGGAGGAATGGCTCTCTGTCATAAATTCTTCCAAAGAAATCTCCAAAATTAAGGTGCCACAACAGCAGAGTGATCTTCAAGAGACTACAGCTGAAGATGTCTCAGTTTCTCTCTCTCAACCAAAAAACAAGGACAGTGCTTTGACTTTGAGAGGTTTTGAAAAAGATGTACCTTTCAAAAATCCAAATTCTAACCAAGGAAAAAAGGTGGAAACAAAGAAGAGGTCCCATTCCAGTAGTGATGACATTGAGATGAAGCGAGGCGAGTCTAGTTCAGAGAGTGATGTACCTCTAGAGTCGGAATCGATTATTGCCTCAAATATTCAAACATCTACCGTCTCTGCAGTGAACACTTTAGCATCAGACATACAATGCAGTATTGGTGGGGTAGCTTCTAACCCTGTTTCTACTTCAATTACAACAGCCAATACATTGATGAAGACATCAGAAGGGACACAACAGCTACCTGATGCTGCAGATATCTCAACAGTTGAGGATGGAAGTGATGTCCAGAAATCTACCCATAGCTCTCCAGAGAAAGACAATGATCCAAAAGCGCTTGCTTTATTTGATCCAGAATTTGGGACTCTTAAGGACAGTGCTTCTCCTGATGCTGAAATTCTGAGGGAACCAGCCATGAGACCAAGATTGGAGAAACAATCTGAGCATGAATTAAAGCAAGATGCCCCAAAGTCAAAGCAGCCAACAGGCGAATTGAAACAAATTAAATCTAATGAGTTTGTCTTTCAGCTTATTCCTCCCAGCAAACTTGGTTCTGGAGACTCTGCCCCACTGTTGAAGCTAATTAAAAATCCTATACCTCAAGCTATCCCTAGAAAAGAGAAGCAAATGCCACAAAAACAGAACAACCCAGGGACCCATAAAATTCAGAACATATCATGTGGGAACTCCCAGAGCCTAACAGGCAAACAAGGTCCTCATATTAAAGTTATTCAGGGTTCTCATTTGTCAGGAGACATCCCTAGAGTGCCCAACTCTTCGATAAACAGCCAGTTACCAGCCTCGTTACAGAATTTGGTGGCACAAGTCCAGCCTAAGCAAACTGCAGGAACACTCCCCAGTAACCAGTCCGGGTTGCCTTCCAGTCGGTCAATTTCGATGCATCCACAAGCAAGGCCACCTGCTCCTAGTACCATACAGACCCCATCTGCCTCATCGCAACTTAAAATGCTAATCAACAAAGCATCCAATTTTGCATCCCCACAGAATGAACTGCTCATCACAAACTCTTTAGGAAATACAATGCTTGCTCAGAAGAGCAACCTGGAAACCCCAGTGCTCACTCAGGACATGACAGACATGATGAAAAGTGGACAGCTCCATTACGTTGGCTCTCTCTGTGTTGAAGGAGAAGGAGATGCGACAGGTGCTTTGGAAGTAGCCCCAGGTATTTTAAAGGGGGTCGTGAATAAAACCCAGCGACCTAAGATGATTGTCAAGAGGGTCATCATGCCGTCTGGGATGTCCACTTCCAGTGCTATTTCGTCCATCCCACTGCAAACCAGTTCTAGTGTGTCGGCCATTTCTTCTATTTCCCAGGTTCCGGTTACTTCTAATTCCAATCCTTTGTTGTCCATATCCTCGGGAATGAATACACCAACTGTTCAGAGTGTTTCCGGAGGATTGTTGTCTGGAAGGAAGAATACCCACACAATTCCTATGCATGCAGGGGAGATAAGGAGGAGAATCATCAAGATGAAGTCTCCACAGGACAAGTCGGTGTCTGTGGTTTACCGAAATCAACTGGCGCCCCCTTCACAAGTTATATTGCCACACCAGTCAGGGCTTATGTCTCAAATAGATTCGCAGATGGTGAAGTCCTTGCCTAGCACGGATCTTTCTCAGCAGCCTGCATTTAATGCTCAAGGTCAAGGCCTAGGTCATGGTTTAGGTCAAGGTCAAAGTTTAGGTCATCAGGTTCAAGGGGTCAGCAGCATACAAGTGAACCAACAGTTTTCTTCAGGTTCCCAAGTATTTTCAGTGGGACAATACAGTTTGTTATCAACACCAGCAGGGTATACTTTGTCATCTACCCCAAGCCCTTCTCAACATGCAACCAGTTACCACCAAGGCATTCAGACGTTTGGCAGTTTGCCCCTGCCTACAAGACCAGTGCCTAGTGTAGGGACCACACATGCTGGATCACAACTGGTAAGTACATGATATGAGTTTCTATTTAAAATTTGTGTATTAATGGTCAAAAAGCATTGTTTTTGATGAACTAAAACTGGCTGGTGACAGATCCACAATGAAAAGACATCATTGTTGGCATAATAAGGTCATTATGATTACTCTTTGAATGTAGAAATGTAAGATTATTAGAGTGATTAAGTTAGTAGACTGTACTTTTAGTACAGAAATCTGGGTGAAATTGGGATTTGTTTTAATGTAATATCTTTCTTTTTGCAGCACGCTACTGAACATGGCTATGGTCGTCGTACTCCTAGCATCTTGTCCAGGAAAAGACCGTCTAATATGCCTATTGCAGGCCAGCAAGACCCCTCAAAGAAAAGGATGATTGTTGCAAATGATGGCGCCAGCAACAATGTGTTCTCCACCAAAGGTCAAGGGCAGATTCCAAAATCTTTAGCTGATTATGTCGGAGAGACCGTTAGAATTCAGACGCCTATGGGGATTCAGGAAATCTATGTCAAAAATGTACAACCAAAGAAAATCTCAGCATCTGACAGCCCTTCTGCTAAGTCACCCATATTAGCCCAGTTGGTGAACCAAACAGAAAAAAGTATAGGGATAAGCATGACTTATTTCAACAAGCCAAAACCTGTGACAAAGCCTACTGAAGGAGAATCTGCTCTACCTAAACCACAGAAGCTCAGCAAGCCTTCCAGTCCTAAGACCAACAGGTTAGCAGGTCAGCCAAGGTCACCTCGTAAGGGAACCAAAAAGAGGCCAAGGAAGGAAAACTTAAAGAAGTCATTGCTTCAAGATGGTGGTAAGTTTTTTTTTTTTTTTTTTTTTACTGTATTAAAATGTTTATTTTATTGTCAAATGTGTAATGCAAATTTTATATATTTTTCATTTCTTTAAAAATATATTATATGCTAAGTGGTTTGTTGTAAGATGAAAATAGCACCTTGTGTCCATTTTGAAGAAAGTCTGTCTTAAATGAGAAAATGAATTTACTCCCTACTTCATGATGCAGAGAGAGGAATCTGTTTTAGAGAGTAAAAATAAGATTCAGCTGGCAAGAAACATCCAAAAGTTTATCTGTGGTGCCATTATTGACAGATGCTATTTTCCCCAAAATTTCAGGTGCCATTTCAGGCCATCCTATCCTTCACCCTCATCACCAACCCATAACAGTCCCCACGCCAGAGAATGAGGAAGAGGTGTCGGACTCTCCAATCCTCACTCTTTTAGAACACGAGGAGAAGATGAGACGGGAGGCCCTGCAGGCAAAAAGGAACTCCCCGTACTTCATGTTTGAAATCACCAGTGATGATGGATTTAAGGTGCAGGCACCTACATGGGAAGGTGAGGATTGGGTTAAAACAATGAAAACCAAAGCTAAAGAAAGAATGCTGGGCAGACTAACTCCTATCCCACCATTTTTTGTCAGATTTTATTCTTGTAAGTACAGATACATGGTGTCGGGTGGCTACCTTACCCAGATCTGTAACACCAGACATATTTATTGCTATAACAGTAACTATATAATTCTGCATCAAAATATGCTTCTCTACTCCAACTTTTGTCTGCAAACAACCAAGTCTTTGATGTGGTTTAAATATGTTATTTCAGAGGCATGGAAAGCTGTAGTTGATAAGGTACAGGATGCCAGAACACAAGCCAGGATGAAGCAGCTGTCATATGCAGGTCAGTAAGGCATTGTGTCAGGTGTGATTGTGATAGGTGATATTGCTGGGTGTGATTGTGGTGAATATTATGGTAGTTATTTTCATTTTTTTTTCCCCTCGTTGATTCCTTGACAGATTGATTTTTTGTTTTACTGTGTTATACCATGTGATAAAGTATTGAGTTTCTTAGTCAACTGTATAATAAAGGAAAAAATTACATTTATCAATTATTTTTTGTGTTATCTGGGTAAAGTGTAAAGTTTCTCATACATCTAGCTGTGGGTAGATGCATGAGATGTATTTTTAGTGAATTAAGTATTATTATTTGTGGGTAAAGTTGTGTGGTTCTTACACGGCTACATATTTCTTTCAGGCATTGATGGTCTGAGCATGTTTGGACTGAATCATGACGCCATAGTGTACCTGATAGAGCAGCTGTATGGAGCCCAGTACTGCAGAAACTATAGGTTCAAATACCATGAATATGACACGAGTCAAGTCGAAGAGGTGAAGGGAAATTTTTGGATTTTATTGTTGCTTTATTATTATAATTTTTTTTTTTTTTTTTTTTTTTTTTTTTTTTTTTTTTTTTTGGGGGGGGGGGTGCATTTCGCTTTTGATCAATGATAAATGCTTACATTACAAATATTAATTGGGTTTCATGGCCAATTTTATACAGATTTAAAAAAATACCTAATGAAACTTTTTTTTTTTTAAAGGGACCATTTAATTTTGAAAATAGATCCTTACATAAAAGAACAGACTAGGGTATTTGGATTTTAAATCAACAATCTTTCTGTTTGTAAAACTTCTTTATTGCACTTCATAGGAACCTCCTCTTAATCCCTCTGGTAGTGCGAGATCAGAGCCTTACAGTGGGGAACGTAAGCCCTATGACATGTTCAGTTTCCTGATGTCCAAGCACAAAAAATTACCAGATTTCAAAGAGAACGCAAAGGACATGGATTTGACACATAAATCTTCAAGGTACTGTTGAAATTGTTAGAATTTAATAGGGAATTTTTTAATATATTTCACATAATAATTTTAGTGGTAAGAAAATGAACTACAGGTACTGTGAGAGCTCAGATGTTTTACTGTTTGCTTCCTTTCTTTTTAAGTTTGATTGATTGATAATTTATTTATTAATTTTTTTTTTCATTTTTATTTTATTTTTTTGCATCCCTTTTCTCTTGACAAGCAAATAATATTAACCTAAGGCTTTATATTACCTCCTATTACAGAAGAGCTACCAGTCTCTCCATTCCAATGGCAATGAGGTTCAGACACCTGAGGGAGCATGCTAATGAAGCTGTGGGAGCATACAGGTAGGTCAAATATAAGTAACAGTAAATAAAGCAAAATAAAAAAAATTAGAGATTTTTTTAAAAAGAAAATATTTGCTAGGTTGGCTGTATATTTTTTAAGGGTGAACTATTTTATGAAAATAATACTGTTAAATTATTTGCTTGCTGATAATATTTGTTTAATTTCATTATTATTTTTCATGTGTGCAGATCTCAGATCCATGGGCGTGGTTTGTTCTGCAAGCGTGACATAGACGATGGTGAGATGGTGGTAGAGTACGCTGGCGAGGTCATCCGGTCAGTTCTGACTGACCAGAGGGAGAGATATTATGAGAGCAAGGTACTGGCATAGAAATTGTTTAAAACTGAAGTTTTTAAAGATTTTTATTAATGATAAAAAACTTTCATCAAAACTTGTTATAATATGCAGGATTTTGTGCAACAAATTGTTCTTCCAAGATATCAGATATTTATTTACTTGCTTATATTATGTTGTTCCAGGGCATAGGCTGCTACATGTTCCGTATTGATGACTTTGATGTGGTAGATGCCACTGTGCATGGCAATGCTGCCAGGTTCATCAACCATTCCTGTGATGTAAGTGACTTAGTTTATAAAAAGGATGAATGTGTTAGTTGTGCTAAAGTGATTGTGACAAAAGTATTGTGTTGTGCTGATGATCATTTAGTTTGAGATTTTAAGTCTCCCTGGTGTAAAAAGTTGCATCTGAACCAATGTTTCTGTCAGGACCTAAATGGTGATTCGTATGTCAATATTTTCAAAATAACAATTTTAACTAAAAAGAAATGTTATAACCAGTTGTTTTCATTTTCTTTTTCAGCCAAATTGTTATTCCAAAGTAATCAATGTGGATGGAAAGAAACACATTGTCATCTTTGCACTCCGACCGTAAGGATATATTTATTTGCCTTATGAAACATTTTAATTTCCCTGTACTACAAATGAATTGTGCTTATTAGCTTTTGTGCCAATAGTATTAGAATTCATATGCTTGTTTTCAACACTTTAGTACAAGAGTTAGATTAAAAGATAACAGGCAGTAAATTGCGTTTAAATTAACATATAAACTGAAAGCATATTAATAAATGTTTTTATTTATTTATTTTCAGAATCAAGGCTGGGGAAGAGCTTACCTACGACTACAAGTTCCCTTATGAAGAGGTGAAAATCCCCTGCACCTGTGCCTCAAAGAAATGCAGGAAATATTTGAACTAGATTTCGATATGGCATTTGTCATTGTCAAATATGACCCAGATCATGCTCTTAAGTGGGTCACAAGAACCAGACTTGAGAATTAAGAAAGGTGAAATGTGACTTGTCTGGAGATCTCCAGAATGATATGGGCCAAATTTACTTCTGTGGGTGATGGAATTATCTGTGGTTACAGAGAGGAAACAGGATTTAATCGAGGAGGGTGGTGTCAATTTTGAAATCCCCGCTGTCATTGCATTTAAATGGTCTCTGGACCCTGAAGCATCGCATAATGTCTTCTAATATTATCTGACTTTTATAAAAGGGGGGTTTCTTTTACCTACAAAAAAAGGAGAACATCTTACATTTGAGAACTTGATGATGTGACAGAACCTTCCAACTCCATCTGACTCTCCCTTAAGCCTTTTAAACCAATGCATGAAGGCCTGAGCCATGAAGACAATGTGGTCTACAAAAGTCACCTTTGTGCTTAACTTGCCAGAAAGATGAAATGTATGTGATTGATGAAACATTATTGTAAACAGTAAAGCAGAAGGTACATTTGATGATAAGGTCAATTTTCTTGGTGATTTGCTGACTAGATTCTGATGAGTAGAAACTGTTATATCTCCAATGAAGCACAAAAGAATCTGAAAATTAGAATTTTTATTTCTCCAGAACATAAGACTAGAGAGGATGGGAAAAACCCTGATGGACTGACTGAATCTGTTGATATTTGTCAAAACTTACATGACAGCTATGGTAGGAAGACAAAAGACATGTTTTTAAAACAACAATCTGCATATATAAATAATATAGGTAAATATTCCAATACTTGATTTCTTAAGAAGCCTTAATGTTCCCAAAAAGACCTTTCTTCATTATCATTCATTGTAGAAACCCATTGGTTCAAAATTCATAATTCAGTGTTGAAGATGGTTGTACAAAAGCATTATATTGCTGAATATTACTTCATTCATGGGCATTATTATTTAAAGTCAACGTTTTTTTTTTTTTCAAGGGGGTGGGCCAATTTCATATTTGAATGACGTCATTTATTTTAATATTAGATATTTGTTATCTAATCTCTTTTCCAACCTTGTCACGACCCTCATCTAGTTCCAACAAGTCAGTACTACATTAAGTAACATTAAAAAATTACTGTGAATAGCAGTTATTATTGGAACAAATACTTTTTTCGACAAGATGACCAGTAGTTGGTAAATGTTCAAGAATTTGAAAGACAACTTAATGGTTGTCGTAATATAGACTTATAGCGACGCCGAGTGTACGCACAATACCTTGATTGAAGATGTTTTGATTCATTCTTATTAGCAATATTGTGAATTCCTATCTGTTAACTGAATAAAAGTGGTTAAAAGTATGCTGGTGGTGTTTTTTTATTTCAAGATGAGCAAATCACACAAGCTACTCATTGGTACATGCTTGTGATATGCTTTGTGTTACCAGATGCACTAAGACCCAATCCGGGGTTGTATATGCTGGCGATATATAGGGTCAGCTGAACAGTGTTGCGCATAACCTGTTCCCCGCTACCACCCATAATGCCCCTATTTCACACAGACCACGAATCGTCAGGAATTGACAAATCGTAATCGGTTCGTGAAGTTCTTAACAGATTCGTATATAATCGTAGTCAGTTCTTGCAATTCTTGATCAGTCGGGAATTCGTGGCAAAAATTTTGAGCTGTTCAAAATTTTGGCCACGAACTCCCGATTCCAAAAAATCGTAGTGAATTTTTTGACAATATTCGTGCGATTCCAGCCGAATCCCACGAAAATTCCGACGGTAACACTATCGCACCTGTATCGTAACTGAATCGTACATGTAGAGCGTGTCGAATTAGGCCAGAAAATTTGCAAAATCTCACAAATCCTCACGAATCCTGAAATTTGTCAATTCCTGGCGATTCGTGGGATTCGTGGTCTGTGTGAAATAGGGGCATAACATACTGGTATNTCGTAGTGAATTTCTGGACTATATTTGTGCGATTCCAGCCGAATCCCACGAATATTCGTAACACTATCGCACCTGTATCGCATCTGAATCGTAGAGCGTGTCGAATTAGACCAGAAAATTGGCAAAATAACACGAATCCTCACGAATCCTGAAATTTGTCAATTCCTGGGGATTCGTGGTCTGTGTGAAATAGGGGCATAAGATGCGCACCCGTAGTTCTAGTCAGAATCTAACTGAATTTATTCTGTTCTGTTACCTACCGAATTAAGCTCTTTGATATCTCTGTATTTGGTAAAGTAATGAAATAAAAGTACTATCGAGAATTAAGATCGATCGACACACAGACTGAAATTACGGAAAATAAAGTGAAATACTAATGATACTCATTTTCTTTCCCTCAGTTTAATCGGAAGCGATAGGTTCATAGAGAGCATACAGAGGTCATGCGTTTTGTTATTGACAGCATGGAAAATAATTCAAATAAAAATTCCAGCTAGTTAGGCCCATACATTTAGTCAGTAAATACTTCACAGGCAAACTCTGGCAAAATCGTTAGTCTATCCATTAGTTGCCCGTTCTGTAAAACTACACTGCTATGAATGAAACGATTCTTGGGGTGTAATAACATCATCGTTATATAACAGTTTTATATCCATTGCAGTGTTTTATGGAACCTTTGAAAAAGGTCCAAGTAGAAGGTTTCTTGATGTCAGCTGATGTCCAGGAGCTCTTTGGTAATTTAGACGAACTGTGCTATGTAAGTATTAAGTCTATTTCTGCAACAAGTTGATATTATTGACCATATCTGGAAAAGCTGCATGTTTTAATTAACGTGTTTACGCCGTGGCACTTTCGCTAAAAATAACTGAGAAGTAGTTTAGCTAAACTTTTTTAATCTGAAAGTTTAAGACAAATTGCGAATTGCGTTTTTTGTTTACCTGTCCATTTTATCCACACAGCATTAGAGATAGCATTGAAACAAACATTTCACTAGAAATAATAATTATATTTTACTACGCTAACTGCACAAGGTAGGTTAAGTCATCCTTACTACACTCTCTCATTTTCGAACATTAGGTGAGTTATACATTCTGCAAAGACTTCCTGGCATCTCTGCTCAAGGACATGGGGCCCACGTGTTTTGGTAGCACAGCCGCGTTAATAAGTGCCTTTGAAAGGGTAAGTAATTTGCTGTTTTCTAGAAATCACACTTATTGTTCTACCAGCTGCAGATCATGGTTTTTAAGGCTAGAGAAAACTGATAAGTTGGTTTACATGAGCGTCTCTCTAGAAAGAGGATCGGTAGACTATTACTATTTTTTGTGAAAAAAGTTCTGTATGTTTAACTCGCATAACAGCTAAGTTTAAGGGTCGGTCGGGGTATGTTAATGGAGGGAGGAAATGTGATTTTTGTGATCGCTCATAAATTATCTCCACCTGACTAACGCCATATGTGTTTTTTTTTTATTATTTGGCAAAAACAACTTACAGATTTTGTCTGTCCTAACTGTATGATTTTGGGAACCGTACTTTTGCTCCCTGCTCCTCCTTCCCATAGACTTGTGGCCCTTAGGTTCCTACGACCTAATGTCGTAATTTGTTACTACCTGGCCATTTCTTATTTTGGGCCGGTGCATTTTCACAGCTTCTGCATGCATACAGTACCGTTCCTTAACCAGGAGCAACCTGCCTCAGTTATCTTTATTTCAAAGCAATCAGAATGGAGTATCAAGTATTTTTTTTAACTACAGAAAGGTTAAGATTTCTGTTGCATGATTGTTGCATGAAAGTCGACGATTGGAAAAAGTTTTTGTATATACATGTAAGACCCTATTATACGTCTACATTAAATAATTTTAATCTGATCCTATTATCATAGCCTATGTAGTCGTATGAATCAAATCAAAAAGCTATTTTCCAGTAAACCCAAGGTCTTAATCAGCTTTGCTTGTTACATTGAAAAGAACTTCAAAAATGAGATACATGTATAATTTATTCAAACAATGCGTTACACTAGTCAACGTAGGCGAAGGAAGCACATACATTGAAATGACTATAAATATGGAGTGTATACGTGTTTGGCATTAATATTTTAATATTAAAATCGCAGTTAGGGTGTACTTGCACCAGGAAGTATCAGTAAATTATCTAACAATTTTCGTTTTTAATAGTTCACTCATGGGTGATAATTTTGAACGACCCTCTTTCCTATATATACCGCACACATAATTACACAAAACAAGAGTCGAGTCTTTGTGATAAATATTTCACTGTAACTAAGGAAAGAAATAAGACTGCTTTGTTTAAGTAAGGCTCCAGCACAAATACAAATTAATTCTGTCATTTCATTCTGTATTTCTGTGTTCCAGTTAACCAAACATTCCAGAAACGGGGAGGTGTATCACCGGTATTGTTTGAATTATTCCAATGCCCTAGCGCATCTTGAGAACGTGCGAAAACAACACGAGGAGTTCGGAGAATTCGACAAGGTAGGGCATAGTGAAATGGGGAAATCACCAGAATAAATGCTACCTCTCATGGGAAAGAGACAATTGCCTTTCGAAAAAAAGGAATCATCCAATTAATCAAAGTAAATAACTAAATTAGATAGTAATGATATTTTAGAATTTTCATATAAACGAAAAAAAATAAACGAATTGATTCACTGCACCCGGATTCTACGAAGATAAAAGTGAGCAAAGTCAGGCGTCCGTGTCCATTACTTTAGGTCAAATGTATACTTAAATATGCCATTGAATATTCATTCTCATCTCACTGAAACACATTATTTGTGTTATAAACAGAATTATACTTAATAGAAAACTTTGATGTGCTCAATTACATGATTATGACAAAGGAAAAATTATCCAGAACTTGGGATTACGATATATATATCTACGAATATGCGTCAATACTATAATAAAAGCAAACTGAGCAAACGTACCGGATAAATGTAAGCCTAATGGAAAAAAGATGAACACCTCGGCAGTAAGTCACGTGAGACGAAATAACATGTGTACCGAGATCGTGATGTGACTATTTTTATAAGTCTAGCATTGAGGTTTGAAATAAATAGACTAAAATTTACCAGTTTTATAAGTAATTGATGTGCACTGTATTCATACTTATTAGTGGTAGTGTACCCACTGCTGAGTTATAGGCGGAGCAATCGATATTTCTATGTTCTTAATCGTATTAATGTTATGTATTCTGTCTTCATGTGTTCGTTTATCTACGAAGACAGCCCAGGTTTTGTGTTTTGTTTGTAGGGTTTATACAGTTGGCTCTGGAAATACGTGAACTAGAGTAATTCCTAAATTGTCACAAATGTACTGGAGTAGGCACATTTTAACCCGTCTGTTTCCATGTGCATAATAAGTTATTTTACCAGCTGGTGACTTAAAGTTACATCTTTTTTAGTGGTGCTCCCAAGACCCTAGGTGTAACAGACTGCAGCTAACAGATCTCCTGGTGGCACCAATGCAACATTGGACAAAAATGCCTCTCTTGCTCAAAGAGATAAGAAAGTACACAGAAAATACAGAGGAAAGGATGCAGCTCACAGAATCAATAGAAGACGTAGAGAAATCATTAGGTACATGTAGTTGATTTGGGAAGATGGACCTGCAGTTGCTTAATTTATCATTTATTTATTATTTAACAAAAATGTACACAAGGCAACAAAATAGAACAGACACAAAAATGTTTTTTCGCTATCCTTAACTTATCGGTATGAGAATATCAAATGTGCAATCTCCATCAAATGTGACATAATGCTTTGGATTTCCATTTCAGCATGATACTCAAGCATGCGCCTTTGAACTCTGGCTTTGATCTCTGACCTACGTTTCATTTCAGAGCAACTTAATGATAAAATGAAGTGGGTCAAAAACTTTGAGCGGGTTTTGGAGATTCAGCATCAGATAGTCTGGCCGTCTATTTCAGAAACGGACCCAAAGTCATTTATTCCCGAGGTAAACCTGCACCTTCTTTTGCGAGTCTCATGATTGTCATATCTGTTATTTTTGCGATTCCAAATGAAAAATAATTCCAAGATCAGTCGCTGATAGAACGAGCCGTAATGCATTAAAGCAGAATACAACGATATACTTTTAAAGTAAAACTGAAAGAATGAATCTATCGTATTATTATAGAATGCTTGACTAAATTTTTTTTTTCATTCGCAATAACAGTATAGTATAGTCATGCTACAAAAGAAGACAGTAAGAAATTAGATAAAACTTACTGCTTCGTGCCGTAGAATCGTGAGTTTGGATGTTCCCCTTCTGAGAAGCATTTATATGGAAAGAATTTTTTCTAAAACAGAAAAGATTATGATTAATAAAACTCGCCCTGCTTATGGTATTTTAAGGGTTCTTTTTGGCAAAAGTTGACTTAACTTTTAGAGGAAGGAAACTTAAAAAAATCTTTTATCCAACTGCCACATCTCTTTAAAACTAGGACATTTTTGTCGATACATATCAATTTTTTTTCATTTTAGGCAGTCTTATTTATCTTTTTAAACTTGACATGGAAATAAATTTCCCTTTTATATGTATGTTATTATATATATATATATATATATATATATATATATATATATATATATATATATATATATATATGGCTGCAAAAGCCTTTATTATTAGTAGTAAATTTGTAGACGCATAATGTCGCCACGAGTGTTAACAAAAGCTGTCGCATGTTTTCCCCATATTTATATCTATAATATCTATTTTTATATTTATATCTACAGTTCCTATTATGATATTTATTTCTACAGTATATATTATTTTATTTTAGTTTTTGAAATCTACATTGAGTCAGCAGCCGTGTGAACGTTTGTTGGCCAGCCCAAAGAGACATCTCATGTACGAGGGCCCGGTGACATTAGTTGGTATGTATTTAGGTTTCTTTATCAAATCCCAAGTGACATGAAGCTCAACCAATTAAGTCACATGAGCTTATACTATGATTCCAATTCACCTACCGTTCGACAACAGTATGAATTCTAGAAAAGTCGGCAAATGCCGGTATTCTGAGTATAATCCTAACTGGGAAGTTGCAAGAACATTGTAAAGAGATAACTTGATGAAGTGTGTGTTTTGTGTTTTGGGGCTAATTTGCCTCCTTATCTACATAAATGTACGTGAAGAGCAGTTAACAGCAGTTATATATATTTTTTCCCCTACCACAGAGCAATCAAAAGGACAAGAGATGTATATTTTCCTCTTCGACGATATATTCCTGCTGACCAAATTGAAGAAAAGTCATCGAAAGGTAAGGACACGTTATTTAAAAAGGTGTGTTTTTACCTAATGAACAACCACAGTGCATGTAGCGTAGGCAAAACTTTTCTTAATAATGGAAATGTAGCTAAGCCTCGCAGTGATTGTCTAACATATGGTGCATCATATGCGACATTTTATTTTGTCTTCCGCCTGGCGCATTTTAGTACCAGTGTGACAGGAATGGTAGTCCTAGCAATGGAAGTCCGGGGTTCCATATGATTAGTACAGGTTAGGGGTAGGCGGAGGTATTGGGGTTAGTATATGGGACGGATGTCAGCTGAACAAAGTAATATGGAACGGACTACGGTTCCTAGCGGACGTCCATTCACATGTCACACCTGCATCTAGTTATGTCATCCCTAATGTACCGTCAGTGAAGGTCCAAATGTTTTTACAGTCAGGTGCTTGATACATTTTGTTCCGCACTGCATGCCGCGTTGAGTCTACAGGGTCAACTTAAATGACATTTTTTACATAACCAAAACGTTGACTATATAGCAGGCCATCTTTAATTTTCATTTTGAGTGAACAGATGAAATAAAATTTGACGTCTAATATTGAAGTCTAATAACTTGAAGTCTAATGTTTTAATCATGCTTAATATTCTTACTAAGCTTCACATGGATACCTTGATAAAGATTTCATATTTCACACAGAAAACGTCAGTGGTTGATCAGAACCCCAACAACTACAAAGCTGATGCGTCCCCCGGGACATACACAGTGTACAGGCAGCCCATTTCTTTGGACCGGTTCAGTCTGCATGACGTAGGGCCAGCCGAGGCACAAGGTAGGTGCTTAAGGGGGAGGGGGCAATATTACCAAGACAACTTTCAGTTTCATGGGAAAAAAAGTTAAAAGAACCAAGAATCAAGTCTTCCTAACTAGAAGAAGCGTACATGTATGTAGACCACAGTTCTTAAATAGTATGCAATGATATTAATATACCAGCAATGGAAAGAGAAATGTGCTTGAACAAAACGCGTTTGTGGTAAAGGTGTAGCCAAAAAAATGTCCCCACCTTTTACATAACAAACAATTTTTTGAGCTTTTGCCTGTCATGGTGCGCCGTAAAAAGTCTTTCCCTAAAGTAAGAGAGTGTGAAAGTTACAGAGTTCCTATGTTCGTGCACTGGTATCTTAACAACTCACTCATAAGTCGCCATAGCTTTAATATTTGATTTCTCTTATTAAAAAAACTGACTTATTTACTACAAGTTGTTGTTCCTAGGTATCATTCAATTCTTTAAAAATCTCTGGCATTTTGCCACGTGCTCGTGTTGTCACAATCTAAATTGATCTTTCTAGAATTAAAGTGGTTAGTAGTCAGTGAACTAGATGAAACTTCATTGTTGATTTGACTACAACCTTCAGTGCAACGAATATCCACTTAATCCACAGAAGTACTATTTTGGTGTTCATCAAAAAAATACCACAACCATTACTTTAATGCATTTTACAATCGTTGGTTCTTACATTCCACTTCCAGCTAATGGGTTGAAAAACGCCTTCGTAATAGTGCAAATAACGAGGTTTCAGCAAATAGTTGGAATTTACACATTCCAAGCTCCATCAGAGACAGCAAAGGTAAGCATTGCATGTTTACACTATAAGCGTATATTAATGGTCAGGGGCTTGTAAAACTGGAAAATGATTCTATAAAGTAAGCTCCTTGAGCAGTCTTAAAATATCTACACCCTTCCATTTATCACATTATTATATTTTGTATCACTTACATATATATGTTTACTACAGTGGTATCGCAGTTTTAAGGAGGTATAGTTTTCTTGTTTATTTCTATCCCGGTTTGAAGAAAGTTACTTGATAAATACTTTTCTAAAATGTTTAAAAACAAGAATCCATTTTTATTAACCAACTCGAAGCTCGTCTTCCATACATTTTATTTTTGGATTGCGTCTTGGCGAATTACACGCATAAACACTAGCGGAACACCAAATCACATGCAGTCCCAAAGGCCGCGTCTTATAAACGACAAGACTGAATGCCATATTTTTGTGCTTTGGTACATGCGATTGCTGTGAGAAGACATGATGGGATATATGAATACTATAAATATTAAACACTACCCAAAATACAGTGCTTGTATTACTGTTCTGTTAACGTGAGATTAGAAAAACTTAATAAACGCCATTAGTAAGGACGATTTCTTCTTTCTAGGCGGCGTGGCTTGACAACCTCCGAGAAGCCAAAGAAAAATACAACGGTGACAGAAATGCGAGCAGGCATAACTCATTCAAAGAAAACCTCAACCCAAGCAACACTGGTGCTGTGTCTCAAACACTGACAGTTACGCCACAATTAGTTCCTGACAGCAGGAACTCTCCCAGACTGGTCAAAAAGAGGAGTGAAATGAGGCGGATACACGAACGGTCGCAGACAATAGATATGTCTGGTTATGGAACGTTGCCAAAGAGTTTTGTCCAACATAAAACAAAATCAGTGGATTCAGTTTATCTTTAGAAAATTATTTAAAGCGACTATTACTCGGGGAAATCAAAATGACTGACACGTTACAGTTAACAAAACATTTTGGTGAAGAGATAATCGTGATGTGACTTGTGTTCTACGAAATAAAAAAAAATACCGTCATTTTAAAGAAAGAGCTATCATAACGTTGAAAGAAATGTGCTTGCATCACACGCCTAAAGTCTTATTTCAAACCAGTGGATTCTGGTAATTGGAATAATCTAGCGTCATTTGTTTAGGGCACATATTGATAAAATTATCACAAACTGCGCATGCAGAGCGTCCCGTTTTTACGAATTAGTTGTACTCAATGAAGTTTTTTATTTCAAGTTTGTTGGTGATGTCATTTATACTGCAGACCTTTGTAAACGTAAGAAGTTATCTTCACGCTGTGCCATTGAATCCAATCTTGTCGCAGCGATGTGTCATGCACTGCACTACAAAAAAGCCTGGTCATACTTACTCGGTATGCCCTGTAAATGGAAATATGCAACAAATGGGAGGTGGGGTGGGAGCTTCATACTGTGAATATCCGCAGCTGTTTGTTTCGTAATAAAGTTCATATTGTTGTGCTACGCCTGAGGAGTCTTGTTCAATGTATGGACACGAGTGGCTATCAGCTGAGTGTTCAGAGACAATTTAGCCCAGGCAACAAACTGCGTAAATCTTCATTGCTAAACATTCTGTACATAAGGTTACGTTGACTGGCCTGCTCCATCACAAGTGAATATTGAACTGTAATTACATAAAATGGCATAGGAAACTAAGTTCTCAGTGTTGAAAAGCTTGATATCGTCCATCACCTTTATTATAATATTCCTTCCACGAAACCACACTACGGCGAATGGCGTCCATGTTGACAGTTTGCGGAAATAGGCACCCCACTATATATTATGAGCCAAGGAAGAGTTGTATAATGATAGACCTTGGAAGAACTGGTGTTTCTTGTTGAAATAGCAACTGGGAATTTAAACAGTATTGTGATAAAACAAGAAACTAGCCAAATTTTACTTACGTTTAATAAGCTTTCAAACTGACCCAGCACCCGTTCAAGCAATAGGACCTAGTTTGATAAAAGCAACTGCCAAAGAAGGTTACGCAGAAACACAGTTCTTGAAAGTAGTAAATATACTCTTTTGTCACAAACTGCAAATTTGCTCACATGAGATTGTTCGATGGACTGTAGGCCATTTTCATCAGTTGGTGAGTGACACACGCCCAGTAGTCTCAACTATGTGACACAACGCCATCTGTCACTCAGTGACTGATGAAGATGACCGATTTTCCATTGAAATATCTCATGTGAGTAAATTTAAAGTTTTAGACAAAAGAGCTTTTACAACTACCATCCACCAAACTGATGAAACAATTTAGACTTAAGTACTTGATACTGTATGTCATTACATTTGTTTGGAAAAAGAAATATTCATGCTTAGGAAAAGTAAACAGCCTACACGTTGAATATGTCTGTGTAATTTTTGCCAATCAAACGGCATTTTTGTCAGGTTTATTTTAGTCACATACCATTGTCCGGCCCAGACACGTGTGACATCCCAGTGTGGTAGCTGGCCCTGCACGCTGGATATTATACCTAATAACATATCAGAAGTACAATTAAGTTTGAAAGAAACCGTTTCTATCATGTACGTCATGGCGGGGGAGGGGGGGTCAAACGACTTGCCCCTTCTGCCGGGAAAAGGTCCGATCTTGGCAAAATTGATCTAGGTACACGAAGGTATAATTGCTGGCTAGACGGACCTTCTAAAGGCTGCGGTATCTCGATTTTGATGCTGTCTCAACCAAGATTGTGACGGTCACCACAAATATCACCCAATTGTGTTAGTGAAGACAGAAAGTAAGGTGGGACTGGGGGATAAATATGTTCTTAAAGAAATGACGTAATACGTCATGGGTAGTCATAGCATGCTTTCTGCAAAAGTACATGTCGCCAAACCAAGCTTTACAGCAATTAGGGCACACAAAGGAAATATGTTAAAATAAAAAGACAAAAAGATCATTTGGAAAACAGAATTATGAATTATGGAGGAGTGGAGTGTGTGTGTGTGTGTGTGTTTATTTTTTTTGGGGGGGAGGGATAACTTAGATGATGGGCGACAATGGTCCAGGAGAGTCGGGGTAGTTGAGGTTCGGGAACCTAAATCTCTGATAATTATTAAAAAATTAGGTTATGCAAACTTTTACAATATGATCTCTCTAGAAAGATCCTTGAAGATTAACGTCTTTTATAGTGTGTGTGTGTGTGTATGCGTGCGCTTTAGTGAACCCTTCTCAGAGGGCTCCATTGAGATTTTTCGTTACCCGTGAAAGCCATTATTTATTTCCCGGGAATAGTGTAACGTTCATATTACTTAGCCTGAACCGTGAAGAACACCATTCCCATAACTCGTTAATGCAAACTTTTACAATATGATCTCTCTAGAAAGATCCTTGAACATTAACGTCTTTTACCTGTATATCTATAACAATCCATATATTTGACATATAATTAATTCAGAAAGAAATGCTTTAATGCGTTAATTCGGCTTTTACAATATGATCTCTCTAGAAAGATCCTTGAAGATTAACGTCTTTTACCTGTATATCTATAACAATCCATATATTTGACATATAATTAATTCAGAAAGAAATGCTTTAAAAGTAACGACTATTGAATCAATAAATACAAACTTTGTATCTATGTGAACTTTTCCCCAAATTAATTTCCTTCGATGCTTTTCTTATTTTTCTGGCTGATTAATGAAAACAAAGAATGAAATCACGTTTTAATGCCTTTTAAGAATCGCTTCGGTAAGACAGAAGTTCTTGAATTGAATTCATCAATGAAGCAACACAAGAACAGATTGCTGGATCTAAGTCGAAAAACAACCACTTCGTGCCTTTTTAACAGAAGTAAATACATGTATTAAGTTTGATTTTGTTTTTTTTCTGATGGTCATCAAGAAAAAAGTCTGAAAACTGCAAAACTGGTAAAAAAATGGTAGATGACTACAAATTCGAGGACACTGAGGAACCCTGGGTAGGCTTAACTGAGGGATAACCCTGCAAATTCGAATGGTCACATATGTCTACTACCCGGTATCTTTGTACCGTACATGTATGTGGGAAGCCAAAACTCCGCAAACGTTATAGAAAATTTGGACTGCACGCACAGACGACTGTACAAAATATAAAATGCGACTCCGGTTTTTATATGGTTAAGTTATTCATTGGTTGAACTATCATGACAATTTTGTAAAAACAATTCTTTAAGAGGTTGGATAAAAACGTTGGTTTATGACATGATTTTCTGTATTTTCTGTATCACTTTACGCATTGCAATATATATATGAAAATTTTGATGCACATATCCCAATGGGTTACAACATTGGAACATGTGCATCAAAATTTCAACGTGGCGCCGATCTTGTGAGCACGCTTTCCGCTTAGAATATGCATCGTAATTTGCTTTATGTTAATAAATTTTGGAAAATATAAGATTAAACACATACAAAAATTATTAGGAAAGAGTACAGTTAACTTCACAGACTTTGGAAAGCACGCTGCGATCCTGAATCGGCNCTCTCTGATCCTCTAGTTTATATTGTTTTAACCATCTTTCAGATCTTTGGAGTTATTTCTACTGTTTTGTATCTTACACGTTGTCCGTGGAACACATGAGTCTCAGTGGTTAGACCCTCTGGACTCTGACCAGTGCAAAAGGGAGGAAAAAGAAAGATCCGACTTGGACCTTACTGTATATGACCACACGTTCACATTCATTGCTGACGGAGTGTTTCTTGGATTTGAGCAGGATCTGGAGAGGTTTTTAAAGCACAACGCGTGCGCGGGAAGAAATGAGTAAGAGCTTACGAAACCAACAGTTGCGACCGTAAAATTTATTTGAATTTATACATATTCCTTTAAAGGGATAATAACTCTTCGTATGAGATCTATATTTCACAATAAAAACATTGTGAATAACCCATAGAAATACAATATATTCTGTTTAACCACAAAAACGGCAGTTATAGCTATCTGAGCTTTTCTTTAGCCCACGTGACCTCCATTGATGGCTATACTCTGTTAAAATCTCTTAAGACATTTTAACAAAAAAGCAAACTTTTTAGAAAAAAAACCAGGGATTTACTTTGAATGTAAAAATGGATTCATTAACCATTGGTAAGTATGGGAAAATTGTTGTTTACTCCAGGAAAATTCATTTTTTGGTCGCAACGAAGAGTTATTATCCCTTTAAGGTCAACGGGGCATTAAATCTCCAGTTACAATGGCACTCGTGCACAATCCCCGTGTAAGGCCACATGTAAAACCATTTCTAGAAATTAGGCCTAAGACCCCATTTCCATAGATTTTAGATCGATCTATCCCTGTGGGGGGTCTCACTTGATTACTGTCAGCTACAGTAAGCCGGCTTAAGCGTCTGTCCCGCCTGCTGAAATGTAAGGGGGTAATTAACTATGGTGCGCGCTCGGCTGACTGCAATTTAGCGTGAACCCCCAGGGAGTTAGGTCGATCTAAATCTTAATCTCTGGATCGATCTAAATCTCTGGGAATACACCCTAAGGCTCTGTTCTCACAACTTTTAGATCGATCTATCACCGCGGGGAGTCTCACTAGATTACTGTCAGATAATCCCTCTTAAGTGTCCGTCCCCGCCTACTACAAGCTTTAAGGGGTAATTAACTTTCGTGTCCGCCCGGATGACAGCTATTTAGCGTGAACCCCCAGGGAGTTAGGTCGATCCAATGTAGGTCGATCTAATCTATGAGAATGGGGTGTAAGTCACGTTTAGATTAAGCCTGTAGGCCTAATGATTCGTTCACGTTTCTCAGGCAAAAAGTCATAGACCTTAGGCCAAGGCTATCATTTAGGCTTCACACAAAAATCTGCAACAGTTATATTCATAGAGGTGAATCCGTAAAATTCCGAGGTCAAAAATCGTTTTATCTCCAGATAGAATAGCACACATTTAGAATTGTTTCAAAGGGTGGCCTTATGCCCCTAGACGTCCAATGGCGTCATAATGCTTTGAAATTAACCCCTCTTTTTGTCAGAGAAGACAAAGTCGCATTCAAGAGTTTAACTGCCCAGCACTTGCAAATGTACGTTAAAATAGATAACTGATTGTGAAATGCTTTTATTTTGTTTTAGCAACCAAAGCGTCATATTAGAAGGAAGGAAAGCGACTCGTTTCTTTACAGACTATTATGGGATAGATATGTCACTTGTCTCTGATGATGACCTCCTCAACGGTAAAGTGGAACTTGCAGACGGGAAGCTGCTTTTTTATCCGTTTATCCTGAACCCAGAGGTTAAATATAGGATTCTCTCAGGTAATGTGACCGCCCTTTTGATATAACGTTGAAGGTCAATATAGGGTATAGCCCCTACCTGTAGTTAGGCCTATCTTCTTTGGTATCAGTAGACAGAGGCCTATCCTTTTCTATCCCTTTCCCCTTGGTTGTGCATAATTTAATAAGCCTATACGTATTTCAGTAAAAAAAATCCATTATACTGACAGACTAATATCAGTATTCATCAGCGCGCTTCTCGTGTAGGTTCATGTATTAAGGCCAAATATGGTGAAGTCAACATACGCCATTGATGAAAAAAGGTGTCCCACCTCTGATTCCACATGCTATTTGGCCCTATTCAAATGATCACCTCACAGGTGTAA